CAAAGAACCAAGGGTATCCCATTTAAAAGAGATGGAAAGCACCTAAGGCACAAAGAGCACAGAAGAGACGGAAACAAAGCAAATCAGCTTAAGATGAGAATTTTTTGACACCAAGGCCCACAAGAAGACACAAAGAGCACAGAATGGACACAAGCAAGGCAAACCCTGTTGAAAAGAATGGAAAGCACCTGGGAAAATTGACACGGCAACCCCAAAAGAATGAAACTACCCTTTTGGGCAGACAACGCACTGGATCAAGGCTAACCCACTTGAGAAGAGGCGAAAACAAGGCAAGCCAACTTAAAAGACATGGAAAGCACATAGGAAAACCAACCAGGAAATCCAAAAATACGAAGCAAACCTGCACGTCGCGACCGCGACCGCTCGCATCTCGCTTTCCGTTGTGGAGGAGATGGATACCACTTGTCCCAAAACAAATATGAGCAGGAGGTCATTGCTCGTTGGGAGGTTGGGGAACCCGTGGCCTTCCCTCACTTCAAGATCGCGGAGACCGACATGGACCCTCAAAAAGAGATTGATCCAAAGCTGGTGCGTGAGGCGCAAGCCCTGGCAGGTTCCTTGCTCTGGCTGTCCACAAAAACCCGACCGGATCTGACTTTCGGTGTGGCCACCTTGAGCAGGATGGTCACGAAGAATCCAGCGAAAGCCATTGAGATAGGTCGAATCCTTCTGGCCTACATCAAAGGCAATCCTGGGGATTTGCATTAATTACCCCAAGGAGATCAAGAACAAGTGGGGTCCTCGTGACCAGCTGAAAGTGCCTCGTCATGAGATGTTGATCGAGGTGTTTGCTGATATCGCCTACGGCACGGGCTCTGGCTATAAGAGCATTCAAGGACTGGTCATTTGCTTCGGTGGATCCCCGATTGCATGGCAGAGCTCATCGCAACCCTTTGTCACGCACAGCACGGCAGAGGCCGAATTGGTCTCTTATTGTGGAGCTTTGACTGCAGGCCGTGCGACTGAAGCGCTGATAAGCACTATGTGGGGGGAGCCTTTGACCGAGAAGAACACGCTGGAAACAGTGATCTATGGAGATAATGCTGCAGCCATAAGTCTGGCCTATGGCAACTCCAACACCTCGTGGCGCCCGAGGCATCTGCGGGTGCGATCGAACATCCTCAAGGAGGCCTTGGACAACAACAACAACAAACAAACAAACAAACAAACAAACAAACAAACAAACAAACAAACAAACAAACAAACAACAACAACAATCCCGGAGGATCATGGCAGTTGCACCACCTCAAGGGGACAGAACTTGTTGCTGACGGCATGACAAAGCCGTTGGCAGGTCAGAGTTTTGCTGGTTTCATCCACGACCTGGGCCTCAAGAAGGGTGAGATTCAGGTGAAGAGTTTGGTGTTGGGTCAAGGAGTTCCTCAACAACCTGAACATAGTGCTGCCACACGGGCGCTTCTGGTTGGAAGTATGATGATCGTGCAGCTGAAGCTCAAGGAGGGGAAGAACCCGAAAGTGCTTTTGGGAACCTGTGGCTCTGCGGCTTAGTCCTGGTCATCATTGGGGCAATCTGTGTGGGCAATGCAGTGGCTTCATCATGTCATTGCTGCCTTAGAAGACTGTGCAGGATAGCCAGCAGGCCATCGGAGCAACAGGAGCCATATGAAGCCGAGGAGTTGGTTCGAACTGCGTCCTTGCGGCTGAGGAGAGCACGGGGCCACAGATCTCTGACCAGGCCATCTGATGAGGACCTCGGATCAACGGAGAGTGAAACAGGAGAATCCACAAGAGATGATGAACGATCGCGTGAACGCCATCGAGTACAAGATCGAGGCAACTCTACATCCCGGCAGAGACCTTCATCACGGCCTTTGAAGCCAGAGTCGGGCTCTGAGCATGGTTCATCACGACCTTTTAAGCCACAGTCGGGCTCTGAGCATGGTTCCTCACGGAGTTTGGAAGCCACGGTCGGGCTTTGCACGTGCATCTTCATCACGGCCTTTGAAGCCACGATCGGGCTCTTCAAGCGAAGCGGCTGCTCGTGCAGATGGGGGCCGAGAGAGCTGCGGAGTGCGCTCAGTTGGCAGCTGAAGTGGCTGCAGAGGCTGCTGATCGTGCAGCTGGCACCGCCGAAGCCGCGGTTGAGTTGCTCCAACAAAGCAGCTGCCAACGAAGCAGCTGCCTGAACAGCCTTCGACCACCAAGGTCGGACAAGAATCCATGAATCCATGGAACAAGTTTCAACAGCTCCGTTCCGGCAGAGGCTGGTCAAGAGAGAAAATGAGAGCTGAATATTACCGCGCCAAGTGTCAAGGAAATTTGTAATGCCTTGAGCCGGGACACTTGAGCGCTTTTGAGCTTTTCCATGCTCAGCGTTCAGCAAAACGCTGAAGGGGGAGTCTGTGGTGTAAACATCACATGTACCGCCTGTACGAAGGCATTTCTTGTTCGAGAAAAGGCTGTTTTTGCTTGCGAGCTGGTAATCCAATCTTCAAGCAGAATCACAACACACTGGTTCACCGCACATCCGGCCGAGCGAGCTCGCTTCAGCAAACACGTCGGACGCTCCACCGAGTGGCGTGCCACGTGTCTAGGACCGCCACCATGCGCTTTGTGAGCATCAAGTTGCTCTTGAAGGTCTGCGCGCCCAAAAGCACAGCCCGAGGAACGGCCGAGGGCGGCACCAGAAAACACCGGGGGGAAGGTGTGAGTGGGCGAAGACGGTGTGCGAAGATGGTTTCTTTTAAGGTGATTGGTTCTACATCGAAATGATTTTGGAGGCCTGGTGATTGAGGGAAGGGCAAGGATGAGATTATTTGCTAGATTCTAGATGCTGATCCTCGCTTTGGCAGGGCTCTGCTTCGCTTCCAAAAACCAGCGAGACTCCCATCAGTTAGCTTCCTCAGGATTCGGCCGAGATATTATTTGAAGCCGGAAAGTTGGGAGAACTTCATGCAGACTCCATGAAACCTCTTTCACTACCTCTTTCCTTCGTGTAAATGAAGACGCTTTTTAAAGTTCATCGTTCACCCCGCCAGACTGGCATTCTAAAACCTCTTCAGGCCTAGGAGGTTGCCAGACCTGGATGTCTCCAACACACGATGCGAACCCCCCCGAGCGACGTTTTCGTTTCGTCCACGCGTTGCCTTCTGTTTCTCAACGTCACACGTGACGTTCGACACTCGACGACCCTTCGACGGGACCAACCGTCCGGCTGGACGGGGCAATTCCGAGGACCCGCACCATTTTGGGGACAGAAAGATGTGGACCTGGGTCAAAACCAGAGACCTTGGTTGACCACCAAAGTCATGAACAGAATACAGGTCAACCTACCAGGGTTTGGGGCTTTAGGTTTTGACTCACAGTCATGTCTTTCCGAACGACGAGACGTGTTCACCGAACGAGGCGGGACCCCTTTCTGCCCGGTCTGACGTCCGGACGGACGCGAGGGACGAGACGCGAGCGTCCGGAGACGCTGGGTTGCAGTGGTCGGAGAGACTCTTGGATCTCATGGAGCGAATCATGGAGTGAATCCCTGGTAAAATCGCTGTTCACCATGGATTTCTTCACCATGATTATCATTGATGTAGGAATGGAATCACCATGGATTTCAGTTCTTGGCGTTTGTTTTCTTGCATAGAACCATGGTGAAATCCATCTTCACCATGGTGAAATCCTTTCATCCTTGAACACTTCACGGTCAAAACGACGTCCGCGGGGGGTGCGACACCTTCACGGTCCACGCCACGCCGTGCCACGCCTCAGCGCTGACCACTTCGGTTTTTTCGACCTGGATGGGATGTGACTGGCCGTAGGCGGTGGTCCTTCTGCGGTCGGTGCAACATGGAGGGGACGGTCCCAACGGTCGGTCCGGAATGGACGGAATGGTCGGTCGGTCTGTGGGACCACCGCCGAGGGAACCTGGGCCCTGGGGCCTGGGGCCTTCGGCGGCTTGGTCTGTCGGCGCCCGACCGTTCGGGCCCTTGGGCCCTTCCGGGCGAAGGAACCTGCGCAAACAGCGTCCTTCTCACGAAAGGATGGTCTCTTGGCCCGACCAGTCTGATAAACTCATCTACTTCCCGTCCAACTGGCGGAACGCCGTCCTTGAACGGTGGAGTGAACATGGAAGACCGTGTAGAGATAGATGTGTATATAGAGATGTGTAGGGTCCAAAAGGGGTCCAGAACGGCCGCCAAGTTACGGAACTCCGTTCGGCTCACCCCCACCAAGCCTGCGCAGCCTGCTGCTGCTTCCCACCAGCTTCCCACCGAGTGGCCATGATCCGAAATTGATTGTTCACGAAGAAACACATGTAGAAAAAGACGTGGTCAAACTGGGATGTGCTTGCCTAGGAACATCTCTGGAGCGACGGGGCGACTCCCAATCCGCTCCAGAAAACAGCGAGCTGGAGCAGGCAATGTGTTTGGGGATCCTTGGGGCAGGTTTGGAGGACAAAAACACGTTCCTTGAATACAAACGGTCAGACTGTTCCTACCAATGGGCCACACAAGACAAGTAGGATCTTCAAAGCATGGACCTCGAAAAAGAAAAACCTCTGAAAAAAGAAAGAAAACAAGATATTGTCCGCTTGCCCCAACCTTGGTTGATTGATTTCATCCGCCGTTTTTGGCCCCCGTAGGGCGGCTGAAGAGCCGGCCGATCGGACATCCATCCCGACATACAGGACTCCATACCCAAAGCAGCACCTTAAGATGAAGAGATCCACCCTGCTTGGCAGGGAAGTTTCCATGGGGCAGGCTCGCTGGAACCCACTCTGAACCAACTCTTCAGCTCAAAAAAAAGAACGCGCCCCGACCGATGAACGGATTGAACTCAAGGTTTGACTCAGCCCGGGCAGCGTGGTACGTCTTCAGAGCGCCTGTGACCTGGCTGTCTGTGTGAAAAGACCATTCTTTCTTCGTATCGAGCTGTTGAGGGCTGCTGGATAAGCCCCAATGCACTGATCGTGCGTCACAGTGGACTGGATTGCGAAAAACCAATGAGCCGACTCTCTGCCCAGATGCACGACACGTGAAATTCAAGTACAACATGTACAGAATGGACCCCATGGACACCCCGAAAGACCTCTTTTCGGGGCTATTAATGCACCCGGAATCCAGTGGTGCTGGTAATTGTGTGTATATGTATATATATATATATATCTCCAAGTCGGTCTTTGCAGGAAAGTACCAGCAACATGCCAATGCTGCTCTAGGGCGGCATCATCTCATGTCCATTCAAAGCCCTGTCAAGCAGACAAAGAAGCTCTGTTTCTTTAAATCTGTGACAAGGGTGGCATCATCTCATGACAGGGCTGCCAGCTGGGAGACAAGAAGGGAGTGGGGAGAGGGTAAAATGATCTTCTTGTGAGGGAGTGGCGGATGCAATTCCGCCAATAGAACCCCAAGAGCTAGAGACTTCTAGTTGGAAATATGTGACGACTTCTTAGGAGTATGGTTCATCTAGTGGCAAAGCACCCTAGAGAAAACCTCATAGATGTCTTGTTACATGGTCGATCATGTAACAAGGTCGGCCAGTTTTCCCCCCAGCCATCTGAACGCCTTGCTGAGACGATAGCCCCAAACCCAGGACAAGAAGTGCGTCTGCTCTCGCCGCTCTCGCCTGGCGCCACATCGCAGTGGCGTGTGGTGTGTGGTGCGTGTGGTGCGGAGGACCGTGCGTGCTGACGCCATATGGCCGGTGTCGTTCGAGGGTTTGTCTTTTTGGACCCGAATCCCTCGAAATGGAATTCCTATCAGTGGAGATCACGGTGCCAGGTGCCGTTATCTGGAAAGGTGCCCTTGATGTCATGCATCGAAGGAACATGCACCCCGAAAAACCGTCTGGACAAAAAAACATAAAATGTTCCCTTCGAGCGATCCTATGTGATGGTCAACCAGCACAATGGGCTGATAGATGTGTTTTCTTGAACTGAAGAGAGCCCTTGCCATGTGTGCTCCTTTATACATGCACAAAATAGGAGCTGTCACAAAATTCAAACCCTTCCATGCAACAAAATTGGCAGTGGAACATGGCCCCTTGGAAGATTCTTTTCCTCTACGAACAGGCCATTGTCCACTTCCATGATTGCTGGAGGGTTGGCCTCTCTCTTCGCACTCTGCGACTGCTTCCGACGGAGCCTGCGGAGCTCCGCGGCGCTCGGCGCGCGGAGCGCCTGGGCAGCCAGTCGACCAGCGCACAGCCGAGGCGCAGGTCGCGGGGGCATCGGAGCGTCTCCCCCAAGGGCGCTGGAGCCCTACACAGCCTGGATCGACGACAAACCCCCCCCCGCGGTGAACGAGTTCCGGGTCAAGAGCCCAAACAAGACCTAGTTGTCTCTGGAAAGAGAAAGCGCCAAAGGCGCTTTTTTTGGTTGTTATGCTCCCAACTTGAATGTACTTGAAACAGGTTCAAACCCCAAAAAAGGGTGGATCTTGCATTCACCCCAGCATGCAGCAGGATCCAGCTGGTGCCACCTGCGAGCCCAGCAGCCAAAACACCTCCTTCATCTCCTGGGTCGTTCGACACCGATCGGTCGAGTGTCCAACAGTCGCCAGGTGGAAGCCTTGCCCCAAGGCACCAGTTAGATTCCGACATGAGGTCAGGTCATACCTGACCAAGGGTATTCTCCGAACATATTTCTATAACGCAACCCCTTCTCCATGCCTTTCCATCAGCTTTGTATCACCTCTTTCTTGGAGCTTTCTTTGCTCCCAGCTTGCCGTTGAGACTCCACGAAGGTCGGATCATCCAGCTGCGTTCGGGTTTTGGCCAAGTCATGGAACTCATCGGATAACAAATATCCTGAGGAATAGACTGATAGGCCATCAAAAGAAAGCTCTGGAGGAAAGAGAAGGAAAACGGCTCAAACGGGTAAGCCTGGGGAAGAGAAGGGAACAGGAGAATTTATTGGTCTTTTGAACTGGAGGGAGCTGCGATCTTTGTCAACACACTTGAAGGGCGCAAAGGAGAGGCTCATGAGGCTGACCCTCAATCAAAAATGATCAAACATAATACTAAAAGAGATCGAAACAAGTCTCTCATGCTCACACCGGCTCGCTCGCTCTGCTTCTTGCGACGCTCTTTGATCTCCTTCATGACCTCCCCGGGGAGCTCGATACTCGTTGAGATGAGATGAGGTGAATGTGAACCAGCTGGAAGCACCACATGGTTACATAATACACAATCGAAACAAGTCGTGGCACTGGCACAAACACGTCATGTATCCGATTCCAAACGATTCCTGATCATTGTGACATCATTGTGATATGGGCGCAGTCGATGCACTCTGAGCCCGTTGGTAGGTCTTCCTGACCTTCAGTGGTTGAAACAGCCTTTCGGGATCGTTCGGGATTAGCGTTTCGTCCGGACATGAAGGGCAATGGGCATCTCTTCTCAATTAATACCCGCCCACTCCTGGCCTCATCCTCTTTCATGCCAAAGGCTTGCAAGTCTTTGGTATATTTCTCCAGAGTGAGGGTGGTCCCAGGCGTTTCATCCCAGAGCTCTTCCTCCAGCTTCTTTATGGTGGTCGTCTTCGATTCATTTCGTCGCTGGTTCTCACCATCCCTACACCTCCGTGCCCGATCCCAGATCAAGCACAGCAACAGCACCAGCGCAATAGCTCCAATCGGAATCAGGGGCAAGTGCTGCCAAACACAGTTCTGGCCCATCAACAGTCTTGGCCAGTGGCAGTCTTGGCAAACGTCCCACTGCGGTAGGCGGTACTGGCCATGGTCACAAGGCATGCAACTGCCTTCAGGGACAGGGACTGAATCAAAGCACCACGCGATTCTCTGAAGAAACATGGCCTCCCTGCCAGATCCAAAAACCCTCGATGTTGTTGGCACCCTGATGAAGGTAAATATCCTCTTCTGGGGTTGGCATGCCACGGCCTGTCTCGAAGACCAATGAAAGGATCTTGGACCCCCATGCGAGACAGCTAGGAAGTGAAATCTTTTAGACCTTCATGTTAGAGGTCTTCCATCTCCCCCATCTTGATGGTTGGCTCGCGTCAGGTCTTACAGTCATCATCTGGTGCTTGAAAGGATCTACATTGTATAGTTTATAACAGGTCTTTTCATGTCAAACGGTGCCAACTTGTGGAAGAGGCCAAACATCGTAATCCGGGACTCTTTGCAAATACCTGCAGCAAGAATTCCCATTGCCCCTTCGGACGTGGATGAGGTGGAACCTGCCCCAACACTCAGCAGGACGAAGAGGCGAGGTCAGGAAAGGATGAAGTGATTTCCATGAGCGTCTACGTATTAGAGCATTCCGGTAATGTAGACTCTTGATTCAAAAAAGCACCCCTTGTCCAGGATTGCAAAACCTCTTCATTCCAGGTTGGGGGGGTGATTAATCAACAGTCTACAGAGAAATGGGCTGAGTGTATGACCTACAGCTGCCATCCGACCTTTCACTGGGCCCACAGAGTGGCAGCTGGTCCGAGCCGAAAATCCAGTCCTTTTGACCGTCAACACACCCCATCGTGCGAGAACCATCCCTACCAGGCTACCAGGTTCTTGGAACTTCAATCTGTTTGATGTGATGAACCAACGAAGGATTATCCAAGCACATTTGAACCTACAGCGATGACAACAGCACGCCATGAGTCGCCAAGGTCTCCCTGAGATGTCCGAGCGTGGGCCCACATGGGGCAAGAGTAGAAGGATGGTGAAAAACTCCGAGCCGCACAGCAATTGATGGAGTTGTGTCTTGAGTTGGACACCCGTAGTAGCTTCTTGTTCCTAGTAGCAAGAATGCTCCGTTCGTAGTAAGGCCAGGAGCCCCGTTCGTAGCGGCCTTGCTCCTAGTAGCGATGCCAGGAGCCCCTAGTAGCTTCTTGTTCCTAATTTCCTCTGTACCACCACTCCAATGAATGGAGTGGTGGTTCTAGAACCACACAGCTTCCGCTGGTCGAACACACCAGCTGCACAGGCCTTCCCCCTGTCCAAACCGCAGGCCTCGTGTGGAAGATGGCCTTGAGGTGAAACCACAATCCTCCGGTGTCCAGCGCAGGAAGAACAGACGCCAAATGGCTCCCCTCCAGAAAGGACGTTGGTGAAGCAAAAGCTGGGGTCCTAAAAAGATGGAGTAGCTATATAGGCGACTCCAAACCGTGTTGAGCTAGTCAGTCTGAACTGAGTTCTTCTTCCCCAAGCTTCACATGGATTGAACATGTGGACCAATCAAAGAACATGAAAACCTGAACCTGTTTTCCTTCAAACTGGTCTGTCAAGATTGGCCGACCCTCTCTCGACCCGAGCCACCTCGCAGCGAGCCATCCCAGAACGTGCCACTTTGCCAGATGGACAGGAGACACAGTTCCATTGTGCTTCATCCGGGATGGAGCCATCTGGGCAAGGGAAGCACTTCAAATGGAGCTCATCACTCATCTCCTGAGGTCAACAGTCAGGGCAAAAGTGAGGTTCCGGTCAGCATGCACAGGGTTCGCTAGCCCCGATCGCAAAAAGGGCGGTGTTCTGCAAGGTTGACATCTCAAAGAGCGCAAGCTGTGGCTCTTGTTGCGCAAGCTGTGCTATGGTCGCTAGCACCCTTCTAGTCTCTAGGTCTTTTTTAGGTTCCCATGATGCATGTACTCTGAAAGCCATGTACTCTGCTGTTCCGTCTCGACCCCACAAGTTCTGGAGTCATCTCCAGGCCTGGAGCATCAGACTGCGAGAGATGGCGAAACGAGGTGCAAGCAAGCAGGGAGCACGAGCACGAGCACCGACAAAACGACGGCCAGTTCAAGTGGTTGACAAACGTCGAAAAGACCGACTGTCGTTTTGGTCACAAAAATCCCACTCAAAGTCCAGTCCATCCTCGTAGCTCAGTGGGTCGTAGCTCATGTGTAAACATGTACAGCGCAGCCCGAATGCAAACACCCTCTCCTGCACTCTGCCTGGATCAGTGCAAGAACAGCAGGATGCTTCGGTCACCCGTCCCGGGAAACTGGGCATCACCTTCACCGCGCTGTTGGGGCAGCTGAAGCTCTCGCAGGTGGCTTTCAGGAAGGCCCTCCAAGCACCTGGAAGGTTTTCGTGGACCACTGGAGGTCCATTTTGGGCATCCAAGTGCAAGGAACCCGTCCTTTGCTTCAGGGGGAGGGCAAGCCGAAGAAGGGGGAGTGGAGTTTCCTCCAAGACTCACAGAGATTGGGAGAGACCAAGAAGTTCCGAAGCAAAGATCCTCCGTTCTCCATTTCTGATTGTTGTTTGAAGAATGAGCACCTGAATTTCGAGCCCTGTCTGACAGGTGCCATAGTCAGTGCCCTGCAAGTCGCACCCCCGCCCCAGAATCCAAATCCGACAGCTGAGCATCCAAATCCGCCTGAACGACGTCGAAGACATGAGTCTAACGTGGAGAGCCTGACTCCGTCTGACGTGATCACTCAAAATCCCACACGTGCTCGGCAGAAGACACCTCCTTCCCCAGCCTGTCTGTGACCGGAGTGGGAAAGGATCGCCGTGGCCCAAGTGGAGAAGACAACGGCCTGGTCCCAACAAGAAGCCCAAGCACTCCTGAGCAGGTCGAAATGGCTCATCGGGTGAGGTCTGGAGATGACTAAGGATCTCAAACTTCCTGGGATCAGTTAGCTCTCTGATGCGATTTCTCTTGGACTGATCCAAGCCTGTCACTCCCACCCCCACTCACACACACACACAAATACACACACACACACACGATCCAACCAGGTGTCACTCCGCTTGCCGCATGCTGCCTGGCACACACCGAGCCCGCCCTGCACTTGGAGGCCTTGCTTGATGACCCAGGTCACAAAGCCTAGTTGGACATAGCCTGCAGACAGTGGAGCACAAAAGCCATCCACACAAGCCAGATCTGCATGGTGGCCTGGCAAGACGGCATGAAACACCGTTCTCATACGGGTCTCAGACGGGGGAGTTTGGCCGGTGTACCGAGTCTTCGTGGGTGGTTTGTTCAGCGACTTGCGTCCCCCAAGCCTCTGTGGAATAAGGTGAAACATAGGTATGTGACTATGTGATAAGTCCGATAAGTGAATTTGGAATGATGAAACTTGCCCCTTTCAAGCCATAGAGTCCGACTTTGAACCTCCCAAAATCCATAGGACCCTCCGGACCGAGTGGCAGCTGCGGTTGCCACATGCTGGGCATCCTGCATACCAGCCGTGTGGCGAAGCGGGTGCCAACGCGGCAGGATCCAAATGCCACGCGCTGCGCGTAGCCGATGTCACACACCGCGACATGCTGTCGGCATTCCAAAAGACCGAGGCCTCGCAGCGACCCGTGACGAGCAGCGACCCGTGACCGTTGGGACCAGCGCCAGAAAACCGGAGACCATGTGGTGGACCGGAGGTGTCCTACAGCTTCCTGTGCAAAGGGTTTTTTGTTCGGTTGGGACGTGAAGTGAGCTCTTCACTGCGTACATGCTGTCGGTGCTTCGGGACCCAGTTACGGCAACTGACCCAGTTACATGTGCACTCACCCGAAACATTCTTGGAGACCCGCGAGCGGAGCCTTTTCTCTCAGGAAGAGAAACATTCAAAGCAAGACCTTTTGGGTTTTCCATGTGAAGCACGTTTCGTCATGCTGTTAGAGAAACCAATGAAAGGTGCCATGACCACCATGACCGCCCTGTTGACAAAAGTGTGCTCATTTCTCCTATGCGCTCTTTTCTCCCCATATAGATAGAAAACGAAATCCCCACGTCGAAAATGTATTGAAAACCAAGTGCCACTAATACTCTTTGGAGACCCCGAAAAAGATATGGTATCAGCCAGTGATCGGTGACGGTTGGTGGGCCCGGGCCGCCACGACGTGGGCCCACGGCCGCCACGGATCAAAAAGGGAACCGTTGGGCCCGGTTCTAGGCTTTCCTGGCCCTCTGAAGAGGTCGACCTGCTTCGACGTGATTGCGGGAAGAGTCGACATGCCCACATCACTCTTTCAGCTCGGCCGCTGGATCCGACACTTTGCTGATGTCCCAACCTCAGCGAGACGGGAAGATATGGTGGCCCGGGGAAGTAGCCCATTTTCCCGCCAACAGCTGAATGGTTCGGAATCGGCCGGGGAATCCTGTCACTTACGGGCACCCGTCACAGCTTGAGAAACTGGTAACACTCCGTCACGTCGCGTGACCATGTGAGGTCTCGCAGCAAATTGTTCTGTTTTAAGGTTTTGTTGTCTTTAAGTAGGAAGGTCAGACCATAGGGTTCCCTTCCTGAAGCACCTGTGCTGGAGAGCCCTAGTCCCGGGGCCTGTGCAGGTGTCAAAACAAAGGGGTTGAGGGCCCGACGAGATCTTGGGAAGTCAATAAGTAGAAGAATCCAAGACAAGCGCACGGCACCGAAACCATTGCTTTGAAGAAAAGAATGTGCATCCGTCTAATTCGCAAGTCGAGGCAACTGCCCACAGGCTGATTGAATTTTCTGGCGAAGGCAAAGATGCTGTCAGCCTGCTGCAGAGAAGAAGTGTCTAAATGCTCGATCGGCTGGTTGAAGGACCTGACACATCCAATCACCATGCATCGGTCACCAACCGGATGTTGCACCATGCAAAAGCTCTGCGGCCAAAGCTTACGGGAAGAATGAGGCTCTTTTTGGAATCATAGAGAGTAACTTTGGGACCATCGAATATGCATATATATATATGTATATCACGCTATCCGATAATCCCTCTAGTAATCCACCATGCAATAGTATAAGGCCATCGCTCTGCTTTTGTTGCAACAAAGGTGACATGAAAACACCGACCGCCCCAGCTCTCATGGTGAATATTCCCAGTCCACGACTGGTGCGAAAGCAAAAAGCATCTCGAAACGCACGGAGCAGCTCTACGTCTACGCATCACAACTCGGCACCGAGGACGCGAAAGGCGTTCGGAGCAGGTCAGGTGCATCGCGACTCGAGTCCGGAGCGACAAGGACCGCGGAACCGAACGGGGCGAAACTGGCCTTACGAACGGAGCGATCGGACGCTACGAACGGAGCTTTTTGTGTAGCCTCTCAAATCTCCACGGGTCAAACCGGAGGACTGGTTGACCACTGGAAATGAACAAAACGTCCCCTCCAATCAATGGTAGGTTGACATCCCTTATAGAGGAATCTGTTCATTTTCAGGCTCAACTAGGGGGTCCCTGGTTGTGACTCACAGCCCTATCTACTATGCACACCATTACATATCCATGACGGAACTCTCGCAAATCTTATCTTAGTCACTGTCACGCTGGCCAACGACAATATGCTTTCCCACCCGTGAGTTTAGTTACTCGATCCACACTCAGCGAATGCTCTCGGCCTGGTAAAACTAAACATCGAGGACATCGTCCAGACTTTTGACGTATCCCAGTGTAGCGGCTGGTTAAAGGCATAAGTTCCAATGAACATCATGGTCATATCCTCCACCATCGAAGTATCCCATCTCTCGATCTGCTGATTGAAGAACCTCGCGCCTGCGAACATGTACGACATGTACCTCACCGAGGAGGTATTCCATCCACCGATGGGCTGATCGAAGGATTCTGCATCTGTGAACATTACAGCCATGTTGGTGACAGAGGAGGTGTCCCATCCAGCCAGCGACTCGTTGAAGCTGTTGGCTTGTTGGAACATATGGCTCCTTGAAGACGCAAGCGTGCAGGGCTTGCAGAATTTGCAAGCGGATGTTTAGCCCACTGGAGGTTCTGGTTCGTTCAACACAAGAAAAAACGCTCAAAAAAGAAGGTGTCCGCTTCTAAGCCCTGACTCCAAACAATGATCAGAGACCGGACCAAGTGCAGCGAAGGCTCATATCAGTCACAGCTGTAGTGTTCCACTTCCCCAACGGCTGCGAAAAGGCATCTGCATCGTAGAACATCTTCCTCGCTTCGCTGCCAACCCCCACCGCCACCACCAAAACTGAAGAGGCCAAAAATATCTGACTTCTTCCGACACTGTTGGACTCAGCCCAGCCCCTTGGAAGTATATAGATGGCTAATTAGGGCACCTTTGTCTGCAGCTCTCTGCTGGTTTGACCGATTCCCCCTCTTCAAGCCAAAGCCACCAGTTTCAATGAAATATGAACAATAAAGGCGTCCTTTTCAGCCAGTTTACCACTTGCAAGTGCCCAACACAGCATCTACTGTTCAGGCTGAACCGCATGCCGAATCCCTTCCACAGGCCTCATGGTACGTACCCTGGAGGTATCCCAGTTGCCAATCTGCTGGTTGAAGTGCCGCGCACTGCTGAACATCGATCTCATGTCGGTGACTTTGGAGGTATCCCAGGTGCCAATCTGTTGGTTGAAGTGCTGTGCGTAGTTGAACATGAATGTCATGTCAATGACACTGGAGGTATCCCATCCGGAAATGGGCTGATTGAAAATACCAGCCCATTTGAACATCATACTCATGTTGAGCACCTTGGAAGTATTCCATAAACCAACCGGTTGGTTGAAGAGCTGGGCATCATGGAACAATGCAGCCATGTTGGTGACGGATGAAGTATTCCAGGCTCCAATTTGCTGGTTGAAAGATCGTGCAGAGCTGAAGAGAAAGCTCATGTCAGTAACGGCTGAAGTATTCCAACGACCAACTGCAGCATCAAAGGATACAGCACCGGCAAACATGTAGCTTAGATCAGCAACCCTGGAAGTGTTCCAGCTGGATAGACTCTGATTAAACGCCCAAGCGCCATAGAACATCCCTTGCATGCTTTTGACTCGAGATGTGTTCCAGTCGCCAATGGGCTGGTTGAAGGCTGACGCACCTGGAGTGGCAACAAAGCAGTTCCAACCTACTCAACCGCAGATAAATGCTGGTTCGGGTGCTCTAAGACTCCAAGAGTCTTTCCAGATCTGAGGTGCGGAGGGATTTGGCCTTATTCAAACATGACATATGGCCACATGTGAATCCTGTTCCAAAGTGAAATGTTGATCAGTGGATCAACAAAAGTTGATTGAACATGTGTTTTGCCTCATCCCAATCCAAACCTGCAAACATCCAGCTCATATCCACCACCTTTGAAGTGTCCCAGCCAGCGATCGATGAGTTGAAGCTCGAAGCCCTTGCGAAGGCCATGCTCAAGTCGACCACTGAGCTCGTGTTCCAGGCGCTCAAGTCTTCCTGAGATGGCCCATATGAGCTTTCTCCCAGGAGAAGATGTCTTTAGAAGAATGTGAGTTTCCGTTTGGTGGTTTCAACTCACAAACGAAAAGTACAAGCCGGTGGGTTCTATCATCCCAAGTAAAGATCGAAAATACCAATACGCTCCCGGACATATTCAGAAAAGTCGATGGCATGGCCCCGAACAAATGACCATGAAATCCTCTACAAAGAGGTGGTGCCATCCAGCCTTTGGACTACAATCAAACAAGTCTTGGGCGCGAAAGAACGCCCATAAGTCTTTTCTCCGCAGCACCCATAGTCAACTCATCTAGGTACCCCTATGCAAGCCCATTCACCTGAAAGGAAGATGTCGATTCCAATCGGAATCAGCAGCAGAGTGTCCGATTGGTTGTCACCCACGGATTCCATGCACCTTCCCTGGCTTGTGTCGAAACCAAACCTGCTGGTCTGTAGAAAAGCTTCTTCTGCCTAGCTCGGGAGCACATGAAAATTGCAACCCCAAACCTAGCTTTGTGGCAAAACGCCGAAACACCTTCGCCTCCAGTTCCGACCCGTCTGGGGCGGAACAAAGGTTTCGAGCCTGGGTGGATCTCCAACCTCCCGTCCGGTACTACGCTGGCGATGTTCAGACCGGCCCAGTCGATTGATTCGTCGAGTTGACAGGGCCGTGATGCGTCGAAATCATCTTCGTACCCCCGGGTGAAGCCCATCCCGGAAGCGCCCCACCAAGGATCGTTAAAGCCTTTCAACTCCTCGCAGCCGCAGATCGTTTGCAGTGAGGAAAGCGCGGGGGGGGAAGAAGAGACGTGGACAGATTGGAGATTCACCACCAAAAGCAACTTGAAATCACCTGAAAATTGGATGAGAAACAGAACTCTCCACCTTCCACCTCACGGAAATCTTGGTCTCAGTCCAGTCCAGCCAGTCTCCTGCTTCGAATCATGTCGAAAAAGTTCTCGAACCACCCGAACCTGCAAACGAACGTCGCTACCTTCAGGGAGACCCATCTCCTGGAACAAGCCGCTCATGTTCGTGACAGCCGACACCTCCCAGGTCGAGATAGGTCCCGCATCGGCCCGCAGCTGCTCGCGGCCTTCGGGCGACTCCCACTGCAAGACCGCGGCACGCAGCTCGGACCTTTGTGAAAAGGCACTGGTGTTCGTTGAGTCCTCTACCCGCACCCTGTTGTACAACTGCTTCTCCGAACTTCAAGCTCCATGCCGGAGACTTGCCGGAGACCTGCTATGTCCGTCCGAGGAACCCAAACTAGATAGGGTTTTGATGGGGTCTTGGCTAGGTAGTTGATAGTTACAACCAACCTAGACTCTTGCTTCAGGAAAAGTCCCAAGTTGGACTGGAGGCACCAGCTTGCGTGAAAACCAAGGAGGCGGCCGAGCTTTGACCAACTTTTGCTTGAATCTTGAAGATGAATAGCTTGGTGCTTTTCAGGATAAACACTATAGACTATAGATCCTTTCGAAATAAAGCAAGAAAAGAAACTATCCAATCGATCCATCCCCAAAGGAAGTCCTGAAGACTTTGCAGGTTGAAGCTGATCGGCTGAAGATGAAAAACTTGAGCTTGCTTGACTGAATGGCTCTTCTCTTGTGAGGTAAACCTCCAATCGATCCAACACTCATTCATCGGGATCTCTTTGGGGCGGCACGCCACGCGGCACCACCACGCGGCACCACCAGCTTTTTCGGTCCACTCGGTCCGTCCCAGAAAAACGCTCCAACATCGAGTAAACGGTCCATGTGTTTTTCTTCACCTCTTTTCTTCACCCAGCTGGGTGCATAGACATGCTTCCATGTCATGTCCTGCTTCAAAGGGTATACTTAGGCTTTGCATGAAAGATGTCTCCCACCCTGCCAACCAGGCACCGATCCCGAAAGGCACGCTTCCCTGCCGAAGGAGATGTTGCAGGCCAGAAGAGGCCCTGACGGAGCAGGGAAAAACGAGCAAGTCGCACGAGGACCAGAGGCACGAGGGGCCCGGATCGGTTTGGGGAAGACCAAAGGCCACTGGACCGGTTCGCTTCATCTTGCCACTGGATGGGGTCTTCCTCAGTGGATGGGGTCTTCCTCAGTGGCACCTAGTCCCGGGGTGGAATTCGTTGCTGTGGCCTTTGGGCCGTGGCCCTTCCATCTCTCTCCAAGCGGTTGCCTTGGGTTCCCCCTCGCCGCCCACGGGAGCGTGGTTAAAAAGAGAAAAAGCTTCAGAGCATAGAACGTGATGGGCAATGATGGGCAACACGCTTGGAGATGTGTTCAAAAGAAAACCATGGGCTAACATACACATATGTTTGGAAGAAAATCCCATCCATATGTTTGTATGCTGGGCTTCCTAGTGTTCTTGGACCAGACCTGTAAAGGCACTAAGTGCACCCGCCTGCAGGTTTGAATGCCTGCCCTCCACGAGCTCCATATAGATCCATGCTGCCAAACCCTGGTCTCTACCACTCAGTGGGTTTGCCCTCCTGAACCACCTTTGAACCGTGAAAAACAGAAGTAGTAGTCCATTAGTCATTAGTCCATTCCTCCTTCGATTGGCGCCGAAACAGCACCAGGGAAAAGAACATCACGTGCCTGATACAGTTCACCACCCGAATCTTTGCATGTTCTTCCCAAACCCATCGTCTCGCCAAACCCCCTTTCTCGTTCGCCCAACCTGGGTGGAACAAAGCTGCAGCAACAGCACACTTATAGCTCTCATGACCGCAACAAGAAGCCGAAAAAGGCCGCTCTGTGTCTCACTACCGTTCAATGTGATGTCACCAAGAGGTGTCTCACAAAACATAGCAGGTGAGGCCACCAGAGCAGCGGTGTGGGGGTCTTGTCGTGGACTTTCTCTGTGTGGCTGTGGCATGATATCGAACTGGAGATCATGCGAACAGAGAGCTTGAGTCTGCTAGAAAGGGGCTGCGTTCTGGACAAGCCAAAAGATATCGAATCAACCAGTGAAGGTCAAGGATATCGAAATTTCGAAAGACCAACAAGATAAGGTTGATGGAAGCAAGGGCACCAGCAACCTTCAGGTCATGCTACAAATAGAGGATCTACAAATAGAGGATCTAATTATGTATTGATTTGTGTATATATAATCTATAATGATTTACCAAATAAAGCATGTTAAAAGTCAATACATAGAGAGAGAGAGAGAGTAATAAGGTACACACATATTTACTTAGAAACACATATATTGAGTTCAATAAAGTGTCAAATCATGTTCGGCCATTCATTAACTATGAGCGCACGGACGTCCGTGAAAAGCGGTGCAGATGCCACCTCTGCCCAGTCTTTCGAACTACTCTAGAGCACCACCCGGTTCTTCAGTCACTCTATATACAAAGATCCAAATCGCCACTGTGGCCTTGAACTCTAGGAATGAGTTGGATGAGAACTCCAAGCCAGCCCAAAAACACCCACGGTGAATGAGACTGCCAGTGGATTGAGAGAATGGGAGTGGACTTCAGGACAAGCAAGGCTCTCCTTCTCCTAGTGGAGAAGCGAACCCAGACCCACCCACCGCACTTCCCCTTCGCGTCGCGTCGCGGGCTCGCCACCGCCACCGACCCGACCCGCATCACGGCCTTTTCGGACGTCTCACACTCCAACGAGACGATCCCAGGGCCCTCCAATCCGTTTTCTGCGTGTTTTCTGCAGGGCCCTGACCCACATGGTGAACAAACGTCCCCGGTCTGAACTCCAAAAAAGAAAGGACACAGCAATAGACGTCATCTCTTCCCGAGGAGCATATCACTGCGAAAACAGAAAACGCTCAATTTTGTTCTGGTTCGTCTTCGGGTCAGGGCGGGTCTTCCTTTAAAGGGTGCTAGACGCACCAAAAGTTCATACCAGGACCCTGAAGGAGCCCTGTTTGGAGACCACACAGGTGGGAGTGAGAAGACTCCACGTCTTCAGCGCCCACGAGAACGAACGAATCAGATCCACGGGCCATGCGCAGTACGTGTGTGTTGGTCTACAAAGGAAGGAGGCCACAAGCCTTCAGAAGGCCAAGTATGGCATGCTGCGGCGTGCTGTCCAAGCAAGCCATTGAGGAACATTATTTTAGCATGATTTCTTAAAACAAACCACACATGCTTGCTTTTATAAGTCCCATGTTGTCACCTGCTAATTTACCTAATATGACATGATTTTAAGCTACTCATATGTTTTGCTGACATATATTGTTTACACAAATCAAAAGCTTTTGTTTCAAGAAATAATGCAGGCATCACTCGGTGGTGCTGAGCCTAGTGTGGAGCTGCGCTCCATTGACAGACAACCTTTAGAAAAATTGCATCCTGGAGTCCAAGGAGATGCCAAACGCGGGAAGTTTGCGAAAACTCACAAGGTTCACTCCTACCGAATCAAAAGCTGCCCCTTTACTGCCCAGGCGCATGTTAGTCCATCTCCCAGATCTGACAGTTCTTCAACAATACCTTGAATAGCATGGAATATTGAATAGAGAACCAGATGAGTGTGTTTGGAAAATGGATAAAAATAGAGAGAGACCCTGCAACAACTGTGTCTTACATGCTTGATCCTGTTCGAAAATGTCGATGTGACGAGACTGCCATCCCAGAAATACACCAAAACCGCACGATCGCAGCACAGAACGCCGTCTGATGGGCGAACACCAAAGACTTGGATTTGCTTGAGCCGGGAACAAAGACCTTCTCCAGTGTGAAAGATTGCAAATCGGATAAAACCGCCAAGAAGACTCATCCCTGAGAATCGTCCGACCGGATAAGGCTTCTAGGTCTGAGCCTGTTTTCTCGAACCTTGCTCGACCCTTCAGCAAACCGAGGATCACTATTCCTTGATCTCACCCACTCCCGAAAAACGGGGAACCAAAATGGATGTGGAATCTGGATGAATCACCTGTAATCACCTCTTGTACTCCAGGATGTGCATGGGAAAAAAGCACAACAAGGATGTCGTGAAACATTTCACGACCGTCGTGCTTGAACGAAGGCGCCAGTGGAAATAGGTCAGCCAAGCACGGCTGTGCCAACGTGCCAACGTGCGAGCGGGCACGTGCGCGCTCGCCGCGGCAAGACAGAGACCCCCAGAGTGGGATGAAACGAAGATGAATATTGGCAGGAGTCAACTCTTCTGTTCATTTCTTGGATCTTTACCTCAACTGGAGTTCAACCAAGCTCCAGCGTTTTCCCGATTCGAAAACAGCACCGGCGCAGACTGGGGAAGAAAATAAAATAGACCGACGAATCCAACAGCAAGCAACTTGAAAAGCTTCGAGACCATGCAAATCCAGCAGAACATACGATTCTGAAATCCTTCAAGGCTCCGTGCGGACTCAACAACTCCTCCAGTCGGTTTCGGGGTCCAGGCATCCGTGGTGCTTTTGGACCTTATGAAGATGGAAGCTGTGACTGAGACGATCCAATCCCCTCATCCTGCGATTCTTTTACCTGAAACCACATGGATACCTTCGATATCCACACTTGTTCCAAGTTCTGAGGAAGGTTACATGCAAACCACCTTTCTGCACAAGGAAGAGTGTACGGACGCATTTTGCGGGGTAGGGGTTGCCCTCGATTCAAGAATAAATCCTCGAACTCTTGCCCAGCACCCAAGAGCCTAGAGCCATCAAACTCCATCAACCTTCCCTAAAAAGCTCCCAAAGCCCCGCCGATTCTCTCATATTCGTCCGTTACTTCATCACCATGGTCACTACCACTCCTGGAGGTCAGCACTCGACTCCATTGGCAGAAAGACTCCATTCACAGAAACTCTGCAAAATAATATGCATCCTGGAGTCCAGGAAGAGTCAATATGATGAAAAGTCTGAACGGCTGTCCGGCTAACCCAAAGGCGGGAAGTGTGCAAAAACTCACAGCGGTTGCCACCTGTAAGGTTCACTCCTACCGAATCAAAAGCTGCCCCTTTACTGCCCAGGCGCATGTTAGTCCATCTCCCAGATCTGACAGTTCTTCAACAATACCTTGAATAGCCTGGAATATTGAATAGAGAACCAGATGAGTGTGTTTGGAAAAATGGATAAAAATAAAGAGAGACCCTGCAACAACTGTGTCTTACATGTTTGATCCTGTTCGAAAATGTCGATGTGACGAGACTGCCATCCCAGAAATACGCCAAAACCGCACGATCGCAGCAGAGAACGCCGTCTGATGGGCGAACACCAAAGACTTGGATGTGCAATCTGGATGAATCACCTCTTCTACTCCAGGATGTGCACGGGAAAAAAAGCACAACAAGGATATTTCACGACCGTCGTGCTTGAACGAAGGCGCCAGTGGAAATAGGTCAGCCAAGCACGGCTGTGCCAACGTGCCAACGTGCGAGCGGGCACGCGCGCGCGCGGGCGCACGTGCGCGCTCGCCGCGGCAAGACAGAGACCCCCAGAGTGGGATGAAACGAAGATGAATATTGGCAGGAGTCAACTCTTCTGTTCATTTCTTGGATCTTTACCTCAACTGGAGTTCAACCAAAGAGACACTTGAACAAAGAGCCATCAAACTCCATCAACCTTCCTTAGAAAGCTCCAAAGCCCCCCTGATTCTCTCATATTCGTCCCGAAAAGACGTCACTTCATCACCACGGTCACTACCACTACTGGGGGTCAGCACTCGAGTGACACAAGACCAGTCCCTTCGGGAGGATCCGAGTGCACACTCGCAGTCTCCCCATCAGGCAGAGCAGGGGAAGTAGGCTGATCCTTGGGCGAAACCGGAAACGGTCATCGGCGGCAACCGTTTGCAGTCCTGACACCGTCCGGAGATGTTCCAAAGAGCCAGTCCAAAGCGGCGCAGCTTGATGTTTGACGTGAAAAAGAGAATCCCTGACAGTATACAACCTGGTGGACGGAATTGTAAATCTTATGGTGATAGTGTGGACTTCCTTTGAGCACATGTCTTCATTCTGCAGGCCAGCATTTGCCAAAAAATCTAAATTTAGAGCGTCTGCTGAGAAGATTGTAGAATACTTTCCCATCCATGGTAGAAGCCGCCTCAGAACTCAACTCTGGTGCGCCAATCATTGGCTCTCTGGCATCTGAGATCCTAAAGACAGCAGCACAAAAGGCAACAGCTTGGTCAAATGCTCTAGAATTGGAACCCTCCTGATTCCATGAATGTCAGTGCTTGTTTCCTGTGGAACACAGGCGCCTTCGGGATCACACCATCAACACATGAACCAGGATAGCCCAACCAACCCTGCTGTATATCCCATATACACTCTAATAGCCGCGTTGAAAACACTGTGACAGGCCTTTTCTCAGAGCTGGGCCTCTGTTCCGACGAAAGCGACACGACCGGGAGCTCCAACACTGGCTCATCTGACCCTACGACCCTTTTCCGCACGTCCCCCGTAGCGCTTCAGAATTCAGTGGCTCCCAGCACCGGGCGTTCGAAGTCTTTTCGAAAAGAAGGACGGCGCCACCAGGCGCAACCGTGGTCACCGATCGATCAGGCACCGATCGATCAGGCCTGAAGCGAACTCTATACGACTGAAACGACTCCACGACAGACGAGAAGACAGTCTTGCCAGTAACCTTAAGCATTCCGACTACACGAAGAAGACTCGCTAGGAGTCCTCGTTCCAACGAGCGGGGTCTGACCACCCAAGCAGAGACGAGACGCACCATCAAACGTTCGTGAAGTCGAGGCGTACCCTTTCTGTTCCCCGGGAAAGCGAGCGGTTGAAGACTTCCAGGGCGTGTTGGGGTGCCGAAGACGCCTTCCAAGCACCCCTTCCCTCCAAGCCTGGGGAAGATCGGCCCCGCGTGGAAAAAAATCGGCCCTTCCCTCATAGCGGGCGGCTCTGCTCTGAACGCGGCTCCCTCACGCAGCGCCAAACAGCTGAGCCACCGAGGGTTCACCACTCGCTCGGAGCAGATGAAGAACCGAAGAAACCGAGGAAACCGAGGACTGTTGGTGGACACCAAGTCAAGACTGGACACCAAGTCCGATCATGTAAGACTTGATAGATTTAAAAAAAGAAAGTGGATTGTAGAACCTCTTCTACCCATCCCACTCCAGATCCGCACTCAGCCCCATTGGGCGGTGCCACTGTGATCACGCTGGATACATCACGCTGAGTTCAGCCGCGTAGGATTGTAGAACCTCTTCATATAGGGAAGATACAATCAATCAACCTCACCGTCTACATGATTGCCGTGGTATGCCATGGTGTCTCATATGTCCTCCAAGCATGGCCCGACCCGAACGACTGCCAAGACTCATTCATCGAGTCCTGGTTGGTCTCCTTTGGCTCCATCACTGAGTCTTTTGTGCCTCGGGCCGTTGTGGAACCGCCGCAAGGGCCATTTCACCTCCCTACACAATCATCCAAGTGAGTTGAAAAGAAACTTCGGAGCCAGCGATCTGCCTGGGGGGGCGCGCAGCGCAGCCCGGGCTGATCCAAACGGTGGGGGTGGCAGGTTGGGAAAATCCATCTGCATCCCATCTGAATGAGGAAAATCGATCGCATGTGTCCCAAAGGGTCAGATGCAAACTGGGGAGGCCTGCGGTGTGTCCTGTGGAGGCCTGCGGTGCACGCCCGAATGGCAGCACATGCGCACTTGCACCTGGAACACGCGACGAAACTGTAATTATTTAAGAGGAAACATATCATATGACCATGAAACATGAGACTGTGCGGGTTCCAGAAAGGACACCATTTTTTAGCTCTTGAACACAGCCAGACATTTCCAGCTCACCAGGAGAGCTAGCGCAGCGCATGGCCCAGACAAATATTGTTCATGTTGCGTTGTTTTTCTTTCATTCCATGGCTCCAGGGTGGAAGCCATCGCTAGTAGGGTGGAGGCCATTGCTACTAGGGCTCCGTGGTTTTGATCGATGTCCGAATTTCCGATGTCCTTTTCCTCGCAGTCCGGCTGGCCATCCAGCCAGTTGAGTTTATTGCAAAGGCGTGATCAAACCAACCGGACCAACCTTGCCCATGCCCATGCCCATGCCCATGCCGCCCTGATTTGATGGCTTTTATGCATGTCCCAAAACCAAAAACCAACCCCTTCTTTTCCCACCATTCACGTCCCGCGTCTTTTATTCACTTTTCAAGCCACTCGCTTCCTGCGCTTCCTGGGCGCTCGCATTGGTCCTGCGGTGGTCCTTGCTGATGGACGCATTGGTGATCCGAATGCGACTGGCACGGCCGATCTCCACCTGGTGCAGCGGGGAGATCTGCAGCGGAGAGATGTTCCAAGACAAAGACCTGGTGCCGAGATAAAATGCATTGGGAATGGTTGGAATGCAACTATATCTACTGAGTACAGTATATTTTCGCAGGTGTGCCTGTCATGTCAAACTCAGAAAATGCTCCCAAACATATGGGATCAGCATGTTAGAGGGCCTTTTTGTAACCGTTTCTGGTGGCCAGCATGTTTGAGGACCCCCAATTTGTTAAACAACTGCTCTTGTGTGCGTGACACACATTGGCTCAAGCAGACTTGCAAGAGTACCGAGCCGTTGGTTGACCGGAATGAGGCTCACGATCCGAACCGAGGAAGGACAAGCTTTTCCAGGAAAGGCGCAGAAGGCGTGGGAACAGAAAAACGGGTGACACAGCCCTCGTGACAAACTAGAGGAATGGAAAACGGCTCAGGCATTCATCCTCAACACAGCTCGTCCTTGCAGGTGCCAGAAGCGCATTCGTTTGAAAAAGCGGCTAGGACTAGGAGGCCATCGGATCGCCATCGCTAATAGGTTGTTCAAAGCCGCTTTAAGCAGCTGTCTTTCGGCAAAGGTGCCCACCGCCGGCTGAAGGAACTGTCAACCCGCCAAAAATGGATTTGGTTTGCCACGATCTCCCATGTTCAAAAAGATCCCAATGCGACTTGTCAAAGCACTGAGAACCAACCAACCAACCAAACAAACAAGCAACCAACCAACCACTCCATAGATTCCTTAGAACCAACATGCCACTGTTAACCACAGAAAACATCCGTCTTTGCCGCTCACCAGGGGAAGACCACAACTCTCTTGGGCGAGCAGTCATTTTCTCCAATTCGGGGTTCCCATGCGGAAAACCAAACTCGGCTTCCGCGATCCCCCGCAACGCCTATGCTCCAGTCGCAAAAAGGGCCCTTAATCCAAACACGAACACGACGAACACCACCAGGCTCGTGGATTCCGGGCGATGCCTCAAACTCGCGGGAGAGCAAGTGCAAGGAGCTCTGGATCTGCGACACATCGTAGCGCGACAGCTCCGACACCACGGACTCAAAGGCACACTCGTCGGCATCCCTTGGGGGTTCAGGGCGGTGGGAGCTGCGGCGCACCCGAAGAAAGCCGAGAAAAGCGATAAACCTACAAAGGAAAAAGAAAGAACAGCTGGGCACGAATCCACCGTCAATGGCAACATCGCACGGTCTCCAACAAGTGTCGTGTCAGTGCCAGACAAAGCTGCAGTATGTCGAGTCGGCATAACACATGTACCACAACTTGTCCAAGCATGAAAGCTCCCACCCTGCTCAGGATACCGCTTTGGAGCTTGCCAGCAGATCAGCACGACAGTATGATCATCTCAGAATGACAACGTGTCAGCATGTTAGCATGACCTGTGCCAGCATAACAACATGTCAGCGGGCCAGCATGACAACATGCTAGCGTGTCTACGACTGTATTGTATGCAGCAGACCAGCATGACACAATGACAGCAAATGGCGTGACAACACCTCAGCATGTCACTAAGCCCAGCACGTCAACATGGCAGCCTTCTTTCAAGCTTGCGTGACAGAGTGGCAACATCTTAGACTGTTGACATGAATAAAACACAGCGCGCACCAGCACCATGCATTGTAGCCTGACAGCATCACATCAGGTCAGCATGACAACATGCCAGCATAATGATATGTCCACATTACGCCATGACAAAGCAGCAGGTCCGGTCCGCATCAGCATGACATCCTAGGTGAGGCTCTGCATGTCACGAGGCCGGCAATCCGAAGTCTGGAACTCTGGCTTCGCTCCGAAGGCTGGAACCTATGGCTGTAACTTGCTCCTAAGCTTCGCTGGAACAGATGCGGCTTCGACGCTTCGCGGCTTAGCGCCTCGGGTCCCACTGCGCGTTCGATAAGGCGGAAAGACGGGATCATCAATAAGGCGTGTGAAAGAGCTAAGGCGTGTGACACGCAATGGGATGGATTGGAGTGCAGAAGTTGCGATCAGGCCGTGCTTCCAGGGGTTCCAGAGGCAGGGTTCGAGGGCCCTTCCAGGGTGCCAGCCAAGCTGCGATTGACACCTGGTCTTCCGGGTTCCGAAAAGACGGTGTCTTCCGAGTGCCACGGAGTTCGAAGATGGACTCCTTTTGGCAGAAAGTGACCGATCAAAAAATGGGGAGCGAAGAAACGACACCAACCACCCCGTTCATTTCCATCACATCCTCAGCCTGCCATGTTTGCAGCTAGGTGGAGAGGAAAAAATAGAGAGGCAAAAAGAGGAAAACGACAAGAAGAAAAAACATCTTCAGACCGAACAGATCGACACGTCTTCGTTCTGAAAAAAGGCAACGTCACGCGTATGTGCGTATGTTCTTCGCCAGCTGTTCAGCTCAGCTTGCTTGACAAACCAAGTGTCTGAAGCATCCACCGGGCGATCTTCTGGAAGTCCTTGAAGAGCTCACGCGGCTTCGGCACGCTTTGCAAGTGCAGCACCACCGAGTCCTATAGGGGCGGATCGAACGAAGATCTATTTCAGCGGGGGCCGCAGACGCGAAACTTCAGCCAGCGGACGCAACTCGGAAACACCTTGTAAGGGTCTCCATGGGTCGCGCATCGATCGGGTTGGCCCCGACGGCTCGGACGGCTCGGACCCAAACGGCGGACTTCAGCCGTCGACCCAACGGAGGTCGCGCATCCGCCGGCGTCACCAGGACGTTCTGCCCCATCGGAACGCCGGAGAATCGCGGAGATGATGCATTCTCGGGGCACCGAGTCCATCTGCGTGTGCAGGGTGGACCCCAAAAACCCGGAAGCCGTTTTCACATCCGAAGACGCTTTCACGTGTCTCTCAGGCCCCCCCCAAAAAAAAACGGGCCCTTTTCTTCCGCGGCACATGTTGGCGACGGCCACAGCCCTTGTCAATGAGCAAGAGCACGCCCAACACGAAGAAGAGGAGCCTGAGCATCGACACCGGGCTCCTCCTCCGCTCTGAGGCTCTACTTTGCTGGTCTCCGATGTTTTTGTCGTTTTTGAATTGATCTCCTACTATGAATCGGAGAATTGATCTCGTTGTTTTTTCTTTGATCTCCTTCGCTGTTCTAGTTTTGTTAACAGTTTCTTATAGAATGATGTGTGTGTGTGTGTGTTCAAGTTTCAATCTTTTTGCGTACCTCTTTCTCAGAGTCGGACGTCGACGGACAGGACAGGTCGTTTCGGGTGAAAAGGGCGAAGAGGCGAAGATGTACCAAGGGAGGCGCCAGGTCTTGACCTGAAAAACCAATGTCTAAACTGAGTATCTACCAGCACCACCCACTTCGGGTGGTTTATAGACCCCCCCTGAAGATGTATTGTTCATCTAATCACCACCCCTTGGGTGGTGCTGGTACCATGATTTACCTCTTCCATCCTATTCCCCACTGGTCCTGAAAAAGAGGCCGACCGCTCAGGCCCGACCGCTCGTGGAATCGGAGAGTAGTCTCTTCTCAGAGAGCAGTCACGCAGCATTCAAACAAAGCAACGAGCCACGGCCAGTTTCACCCGGTAGAACATCCTCTGGATGCTTGTAATCCTCACTCAACCATCCATCCCAGGGCTTTGGAATTGAACCAATTGCTCGCCCAGGCGCAGCAGACACCCGATGATGCCAAACGCCACGACGGTCCGAATGGTGCTGGACAGGCTGGGGTCACGTTCCACGTCCTGGCGCCGTGACCGAACCGGCACGGTTCGACGGTGCGCTCCGATTCGATGCTGTGTGCATGACCATGGGCATGGGGAACAATGATGAAAGCACCTCGAGGTGCCGACCGAAGAAAGATGTCTTCCGGGCTCCGAACGCCCCATCTCCTCAGGAGGAGAAGGTGGTATTCGACCCCCCTGGCATCCACCCACCCCTGGCCCATCTTCGAAACGGAGGTGGGCCAGGAGTCCTAGGGAATACATCTTTGTTCACGCTTTCGTGATCCCTAGATGGGCATCAAAGGCACAACGACTGGGATGTGTGCCCTGTGTAAGAGTGCCTGTGGAAATGAGGCCTGCCTGGTTTTGGAGCACTGAAAAGCTCTTTTTGGGGTCCAAAAAGGATGCTGATGCACTGCTGGCATCGACGATGAATCACCAGGCGGACTCGGCACGCAACAACGCCAAGTTCAGGCACCCAAACCGCACGCAAAAGACGCAACGAGCAACGCCGCTCCTCAAGGCAGGAGGCCAACAAGACCACCAGCAGGCCACTGATGAAGCCATCCGCCAAGTTCAGCACCGGAGCCTCAGTCTAAGACTGGCCCACTGCAGTTGCCAGATGCGTGTCTTAGGCTGGTGGTTTGGAATTCGGTTTCTGACTGACAGTGCCCTTTCATTCTCAGATCCTTTTCTACAAGGGCCCAGGGCCATTAGCCCTTTCATTCCGGTGCAGTGAACCCGCGTAGATTTCCGCAGATCTGCGTCGATGGCGGCTTCACCCGAGACCGTGTGGGTGGCTTGCGCAAGCAAGCTACAAGTTCTTCATGGACGGCATGGACGCTCCCCAGAGGTGTTGCATCTGACGTCTGAAGGCGTTCCGATGCTTTGCAGAAGAGGGAATACACTGTACTTCGTAACCACCAACGACCCAGTGAAGCTGTGCATCTGTGATTTCTTCACCTGACATCGGCACAAATCCCTCCTTCTGGCCCACGAAAAAGGATCCTCCGAATCCTCCGACGAACACGTCCCATATGGAAGTGGAGGGAGTGAGCTCACCGCCTGTTTGGTATTCGCACTTTCATTTCATGGTCTTCCAAAGACTTATGCTGTCCACTTCCATGTGTTCAACGAGGTTATCCTCCAGAATCAAACGGTTCACTTCATCCATGAAGCTTTCCATGGCAAAAACCACAGCAGAAGGCTGAAATAGATCTGCTGCACGCAGAGCATCAACATCACCAGCAAGCCCGGCTCGTTGGCAGCAATGACTGCCGGCAAGCTGACCTCGGTTTCGTCAAAGAAGTGGTGCCACGGCAGGCACTGAGGTTTGGCAGGCACAACCAAACATTCCGGCTGGAGCCTTGGTGGTTTGATGTGGTTCTTTTGTGGGGCATTGGAAAGACAAAGTTCAGCTTCAGGTTGAGTCTTGTCGCGCCGTGGAGTTCCACGACCTGACTCGAAAGATCAGAAACATGGGGCACTCGTCAGGCATGTCGTCTCCCCAGGCGAGACAAGGATTTGGTGCTTACAGTACGTCGCTTGGTGTCTAAGCGCATGTTCTTTCGCATCCTCCAGGAGGTTTTCGTGAATTGAACAACCAAAATGGCCCTCTCAAAGACACGGATGCTTCGCCTCTGTTTCAGGACTTCCTTGACTCAAACAGATCGACTTCCACGTCATGCTTCCAGCACGGAACCAGAGAATCCTTTCAGAACAACCCCTTCCAAGCCAAAAAACACCACGAACCCCGAACCGAACAACGAACCTTCCGACGGTGTAGAGTCTCGGGACCGTCAATGTGGTCGAAACACGTCGACGTGTCCGACCGCGCCGCCGCCCCCGTCTCAGCACGTGCGAGTGACGAAGGCAGACCGGATCAGAAGCATCAAGCCAAACCACCACACGTCTGGCCTGGCCACATGACGAGTAAAGGCCCATGTCGCGCCCAGCGCGCAGCTAGCGCTAGCGAAAATGAAGCACTGAGAGGTGCGCGCAGGCGCGAGGTGAAGGTTTTGTGGCCACAAGTCCAGGAAAAGAGATCGATGCACAGAACTAACTCCGGCAGTGCTTCTTGGAGTGCTCTTTTCGACTCGTTCGATGCATATTTGGAAAACGATTCAAAAAACCCTGAAAACAATGTCCAAAGAATCAGCTGAAGCGGCGTGTGATGACCGGGGTGTCAATCGAAGGAATTGGCTCAGCGCTTGCAGCAAACAATTCCCGTTACACTTGGTTGAGGCAATGCACAGAAAATGCGCGCCGTACGAGGTACACAAACAACGGTCAGCAGGTATGCATGGACCTTCTTTCACACCATGTTCGTCATCCCCTGAAAATGCACAGCTATCCCCTGAAAATGCACAGCTACCCCAAAGACTGAGGAATTACCTGAGTTGTCATGCGCAAAAATTGTTGCCTGACTCTCTTGTTGTTTCGCGCGTGGAAAGAGTGTCTTGAAACATTTGACTTTAGCTCTGATGCAGAAAGAACTTAACCTCTTGCCACACGAAAGTTCAAACAACAGGCAGGGAACCTTCGGGCTAGTGTCAAGTGCTTAGAAAAATGTTGGCTTCCACATTACCAAAAAAATAACGGCAGTTTCTTCGCACGTTTGAGTGGGTTTTCACCGCAACCTAGTGGGAGGCTTTCCGCGTGGTCCATCCCTCCATACAGGTTCACTGTTTGTTTTACCCACAAGTACATACACTTGCCTCTACTTGGGAGCCACACACCGATGCCTTGTGCTGAAATGACGACCCACGTATGGTGTTTCCAGTGAAAGGCAAAACCTGCAAGACTGTGGCTCTACCTGCTCTTTGTCGAACACAACATAAGCCATTCGTTCACCATCTCCAGTCTGAAGATTGGAGATGTTCGCATGGACAAACCTCCAGCTTGTGCATGTGGCACTGAAAAAATCCAAAGCGCATAACCCTGTCCCGACACTCGTGCCCAGCCTGAAGCGATTGATGAGAAAGTAGAAGGTCATCAGCCGGTCTCTTCCGGAATATGTTGGAGCAACCAAGGCGCCCCAGAAGCCTAAGGAATCAACTTAAGTGCCAACTGCCAACTGCAACTCTGCTGGGAAAGACTCCCTCCCTCCCCGAAAACCAGCGCTGCCGGCCAAAACCTTCTTCGGTGTCGCACTGGCACCCCGTCCCAGTGCCCAGCAGCAATAGGCACAGAAGAGGGTGGCCACCGTCATGACCAAAGCACCCACGACCTGGCTCCAACATATGACAACTCCGCAGATCGGTGTCTTTTTTCGGCGTTGTTCCAGAAACAAAATCATTCTGTCGTGTCCTAAGCCGTAGGGCAAATGCTAACAGTCGTCAGTCGTCAGAAGTCCACACCCTTCTCTCTACAAGTCGTCGACCGAGCTCTTCTACTCATGGCGACGGAGCTGGACTGGGACAATTGAAAAGGGGTCACAAGTCGGCTTGCATCTGGCAGGGGGAGAAAGGCGCTTGCATCTTGCGCTTGACTGAAGACTCTCTTCGTGTGCGTCTTGAACCAGGGGTTGACTCCTCCAAAGATCTCCAGAGGATGAAGCAACTCAAAAGGCCCGGGAGTTGGAGGGTCTCCCCATTCGATTCCCATTTTCTAGTGAAGATCGATCTTACCAGCTGTATCAACAGGTCAACAAACATATCAGAAAGCTTCCGTCACGAGCTGACGAAGCTGGTGGATTGACGCCCAAACTGCTCCCCGGTCGCCGGACTCGGCGTCGCGTGACCGAGGGGGACGGAGAGGTTACGATGGGAACGAAGCCAAAGCGGATGGGAGGAACCGGTGGCGACCCTGGGAGGAACTCTCCAGACACCCCGGAGAACGGATGCACCGGTAAACCTGAAACCGTTCGAAACCGGCTGTGCCTGCATTGATTGGTGCTCGCCGCTGCCACAAAGGATGTTCGGGTGCTTGAGCACAGAAAAGTCGCCAGTGGGGTGTTCATAGCCTCGGCCACCAAGCAATAAAGACAATGAGAAACCTTCAAACTCCCGGCTGGGGGGGGAATGGCGCACCCACAAAACTATATACACCCATCTTGTTTTTTCCTCGTCCTCAAAAACAATCTCCCGAACGTCTCTTTTGGTTTTCCCAAAGCAACGAGTCAAACTTCGATACCTAGCGGTCTTTGATGCGCACCAACTATGCAAAATCTCATGTATCTGCATCTGTAATACGATGTATATCTATCTATATATATATGTGATGTTGTGGTAATACATGATGAACTATAGACTCCAGATAGCCAAAAACATCTGGCAGCAGCACCCTGCAGCGGCCTGAAGCGACACCAACACGCAGGCTCCAAAACTCAATTTGGCAGCAACCCTGCAGCAGCACCTTGCATCAGCACCAGCACCCTAGCTCCAAAGCGCACAGGGCACAAACATGTGGCCAGCACCCCGCAGCGGCACCCTGCAATGGCACCAGCACCCAAGCTCCAAAGCGCACATCGCAGAGAGATTTCGCCGGCGGACTGTGCCATAGACCAGGCTCTTGCTACTTTACGGAGAAAAGATGCATTCCAAATGTTTTGTCTGCCTTGTCTTCTATGAACGAGGATAACCTGTTTGAAGTCGACCATCTCAAAAGCGCCATGTTTATGCACCCTGCAGCGGCAAGGTGCAGCAGCACTGGCACCCGAGCTCCCCAAGCATGCAGGCTCCGAAGCACACATTGCCATAAACATCCCCAGTGGCTCTCGCTATCTGGGGAAAAAAATAACATTGATGAATTCTCCCCCTCATTTGGAGACAGACCCATATATAGACATTGACATAGCACTTGCGGCTTCCCACAGTTTGCTTTGCTGTGCTCTGTCGAAGTGTCGAAGAAGCAGGGCCGCAACAAACCCACGCAACCTGAATGTGCAATCATGGAACCCATGCCTTCCGCGTTCCGAACTCGTGCCTTCCCGTTCCAAGGCACACATGAAAGGGATCAAGCCGACACTGGCCTCAGCAATGGGGTAGAAACCAAGGGCCAAGGTGTACATGGGATCTCCGGCACTCTCAAGTCGTCCGGAGGGTCGAGGGGGGCCCCTTTTCTGTGCCCCTGAGCCACGCCAAGCTCCAGATCCTACTCCTAAGAGGAAGTGTTGTTGCAAGGAGTACAGCTATGGCATAGTGGCATAGCTACTGGCTTCCAGGTTGGTAACTGGCAAACTTGCAAAATTAACAAAGTGAATAGAAACTACAGTAGTAGAGCCTGGCGGCACAATCGTTGGCATGCCTAGAGCTGCACCCTATGGGCTCTCAGGTTGCACCTCATCTCACAGCTCCGGAACATCTCCTATCCCTACGAGTACGCGAAAAAAGAGTGTGTCCGAAAGATAGACCAGAGGCTCCTGGCTCTCCCTCCCCATACACCAAGACGCCCACCTGGGATGATCCGATAGACAAGGCCCAATGGCCGCCCATCTCATCCGCTTATCACGAAAAACGTTGGGCCCATCGACCGCGGTGCCGTAGAAAACCGTCGTGGTCCGGTCAACGCCTTCCGGACTGGGAGAGCGTGCCTTTGAAAGCACATATGGTTTGGGATGGTTTGGGTATATCCCATGGAACCAGGGCCCAGCAGATTGGGGACCTGGTTGCAGGCCTGCAACCATCTCCAGTGATTTCTTATTTTACTCGTTGTTACTGGTAATGGGCTACAACCAACATATGGTTTCATCCCAGTAAACACACCCACAAGAAAGATCAATGCAATCCAATTCAGGCTGCCAAAGTCGTGAAGGACATCAGCATGAAGTTCCCCGTCATGCTCAAGACCTTGGGCTTCTTCCTGAGAGCGGCCAGGACGAGTTTCAAGCAATCATACGTCATACGTCAGCACAGCCAGGACCTTGTTGTGGGATCTATTTGGATGTTGGATGATTTTGGGCGTTTTGTCTAAGGTCAGAAGCTCGCACCCTGCCAAATCCGACTCGATCGTCTAGATAAAGTAGAATCTTGATTGACCAACCCCGCCAGACATGGATGGCAAAACCTCCTCATATGGGGGGGTTGATGAATCAAGCTTCCACCTTGTCGTCTCACCGCCTCAAAACCACCTCCGGCGCAAAAGAATCGCAAATTCCTGACCCAAGAACTGCGGAAAGGTCTCAGAACGCATTGAAGGTGTTCAGCGCTTTCTTCGAAGGAAGCTAGGAAACTGGCCTATATTCTACCAGACTCAGGGAACCACCAAACTCCAAAAGCAATCTCAGCCGAACATCAAGTGTACTGTGTTTTGGTGCCCGTTGGGCACAGCAATGAAAAGATCCGTGAATCGTGGAAAAGAATACCTCTTTTATTCAGAAAGGTGCCAGGTAGCCCCTTCATCTCCAACAAAAGCCTGGTTTGCAGCTTGCAGTTCTTCAATTGTGGAGTCCCCGATCAGAGGTTTTCAAGGAGGAAAGGATTCATTTGGCCAGGAACTGGACAGGAACTTGAGTGATCATTGCCAATGAGGTGTCTTCAGTAGCCTTGCTAGAACTTCTGGCGCTTCAAGGGACGAGTCCGGTGAAAACCGTGGAAGCGTTTCGCCCACGTTCTACCTTATAAACCCTAGCGCCCAGAATCGCCACAGCCTCAAGTTGAGAGAAGGGACAAGAACAGGTAATCTAATCAAATTCATCAGAAATTTGGGTGGCAACAACCGCCATTCTAAAGGGGGAGCTTCTCTCACCGAAACCTATACAGTACAGTTTGACATAAACATGTATAACATGTCTACAAACCCATCCAATACAAGAACAGGACACCGAGTGTCACTTGGGATCCCTTCCGTGTCAGTCTTCCTCCGGTCGGTTTTGAGTTCTCGCCAGGTCTCCAATTCAGCTTCCGGCGCTTCAGCCACGGGATGCAATTGCTCACCACCCCGAGCAGCGGCACCACACAAATCGCCACGGCAAAGAGCACGACCGTCATCACGTAGCCGCCGCTGCTGCCTGGACATGTCACGAGTTCCAGGGGCTCCGTTGGCATGTTCTGACTGTTTTCTTGAGTCGTCTGAGAAATCGAATACCCAGAAACCAAAAAACTCGATAGTGAGCACTTAAGACCAATGACCCAGCGCGGACGAGCTCTTCCAACATCGGGCTCCAATGACCCAAAAATGGTTGACAGTTGACCTGCACATTCGTCACTCTGTTTCTGTCGAGGCGTCACTCTCTCAATGGACCTGACCACATGTCATTCAATGTCCTTCCGAACCCTAACCAAAGCCCATGGCGGCAGTGATGACACCTAGCTTCATCATGTCACGAAGATGGGGTCGGTCTTTTTCCCCTGGTCACCCTGTAATACCTTGTGGTCGCATCGCCACTTCCAAGGAGGAAAAAATAGTTTTAAGTGCGACCCAAAGCTCAGTGGGTGATGGGCCCGGTTGGCCGACATCTCCTAAAGTATGAGTGATTTTAGGGGCGTAAAGGCCCAACAGCGGGCCAGCAGGGGGGCCCAGCAGGCGGCAGAGGCATACAGGTAAAAGTGGTGGTGGTGGTGGTGGTGGTGGTGGTGGTGGTGCTTCTTGGTTGTGCGCCCTGCTGGTCCGTCCGCAGGACCCCACCGCCGAAGGCGGCCCGCTAGGGCAAGGACGGTCGACCTACCACAGGTAAGCCTCAGGTCAACCCTGGCAATCCCTGTTGCTCTAAAAGATGTAATTCCTCAGCAGGTTTGCTTAAGACTGCCCCACGGTGCGAATTATGCGGCGTAAGTTGCTCTGCATTATTGGCATCTTGGGTTTTGTTGCTTGTCAAAGCAACTGCCAGCACCTTCTGGCCACGGCAATTACCACACCAACAACCACAAAAAGGACGACAACAACAACAACAACAACAACAACCGCCACCACCACCACCACCACAACAACAACAACAGACAGACAGGACCGGACCTTGATGTGATCGCTTGCTTCCTGAATGGGAATACCGGTGCCGCCAGCTTCACACAAGACTGCTGCGTTGCCTTGGCTGAGGCTCCTACTGTCTTGGCACCGATGTACTTCGAAGGCACAATGGCCACAAGTAGACCTGCATGCGCTCACTTTTCGAAAACGAGCTGCCCGCCCAAGGGCCTGCCTGCATGTGAGCACTGATGGTTGGTCACAACTTTTGCATGTGTTCGACAGCTCTCCCTTGACAGAGACTTGCCTGTGTCAGCTCCCATGCCACTGCTGCTCGCCGCGGCATGGGATGCTGCCCACGCGCCCCAAGCACAACCACAACACCAACCCAAACGACTACTACAGCCACCGCATCAGTGGTACGACACACAGCCCCAACACCCGCTCTCACCTCTTAACCTCCACCGCCCACTGGAACACCCTAGTCACAGCACTCCTGACACACCTTCACCAGTTCATCACACCGCCTGCGCGGTGTTCATCCCGATCTGAAAAACAACAGCCACCACATCCCAAACAAAGTCGTTGCAAAAGCGTCTCCAAAGCATGTAGGGAGCACTGTCGGGAGCACCAGGGCCAGAGACCTGGGAAGAACAAAAACTGCACATCTGCGGACCGGAGTTCGGCTGGGCTCCCCCCACTGCACCGGGTGAACGAACACGTGAGCAGTCCGTCGCCTGCCGCCAGGCAGTTCAGCCCGATGCCGTCGAGGTCCAAGAGGAAGATGGCGCCCACATTGAGGATGCCCCTGAAAAGAAGCCGATCTTGGTTTCAAAAAGAATCCCAGGGTGTAGGGTTTCGGGTTGACTTGTAAAGGTGGCACTCCAAATGGTGCCACACTCTTTGAACAAGCCTGATGGCAGCTTCTCTCAAAGCCATTGGTGGTGCCAGATGCCTAGTCAGCCACTCATGTCTGAGGCTGCCTATGTTCCACTAAAGCCATCTCGTGCGGATCAATCCTCCCTGGATCCCAGTTCTGCAGGACCAACGCATTTGACCCTCGTCCCGAAGGTGTCGAAAGCGAAGTAGGATGGACTTTGAGGTCCGAACGGGAAGAGATGAAGAACGAGCAGATCAATGCCAGGTATCATATACGTACCTATTGGTTGTTCGCTATCTATCCCCTCTAATGATTCATCAACCAACCCTGCCGTCGGCTTGACTCTATCGGGAGACACCAGTTCCGGTTCGGCTCCACCTGAACATGCTGTTCAAGGCTCGGCGCGGCTGGGTGTTTGGCTGGGTAAAGCATCCCGACCGACTGGCTTTCCAAAACGATGGATTTCTTCATCCCGTTCCCACCACCGACGGAGCGGGCCCAGTCCGAGGCGTTGTTCGATTTGACCAGATCCCGTGTTTCGCGCGGATCGATGTCGAGTTTCGGCGGTCGTGAAGTTCATAGCCCAAGTCCTGAAGACCCTCATGTTTCACTTGCAGAAATGGCAGAACACTTCCAGTCACCTTCGACGGAGTGCCGACCTTGGAGGAAGTGGTGCCCTTGTCACCTCCACTGGATGGGACTGAAAAGCACCCCGTCGACTGTGACTCCTGGTTCTGAATTCTCTTCTTTTGCGGACTGCCTCCGAAGCCCAGGCACGTGGTGGACTCTGGCCAGCGGAGGGGGATGGTGCCCAAGACTCCAATGTTCTGCATCAATGCGACCTCAGAAACCGTCGAAGTTGAGGAGCTGAGTCAACCAGTGAGGCGAAAGTCATGGAACATCAGCCACTCCCACCCAGCTGGAACTCCAGCTTTAGCGTGAGCGTTCAGGTGGTTAGTTCACCCAGGGCTTTTGGTGAGCTGGATGCGGCAGAAATCACTTGGTCCCTGACTGGTAGGATGAAGAGCGCTTCTGTTTCGCTCCCGTTCCCTTCCATTCGCACGTCGCACGCCTCTGGATCCCATCTTCACCCCATCACCTCGACCTCCGTCGAGGCACCGCGATGCTCATGGCACCGATGCAGCAAAAGATCACCGTCGCCCTTGGTTCGTACCTCGGACCGTTGACCCATCAAAGGGCGAATGAGAACGACGTAAACGTGGCACGGTCGTGTCGTTCTCGAACGCCAGGAAGGTCCTGACATCGAACCGTGGCACGACATATGAAAGCCCAACAGATATCCACTTGAGGGCAGCCTTCTGGTTTCTACACAAGACATACCCTGACCCTGCCAGGTGGTCCAAGACATTCAGCCAGGACCGTGACCACGGAGATCTTCACTCGTTAGCCGACCGGATCCACGACCAGGGGGTGAATCATCCCCAGAAGCAGGCGAAGGACGTGGATGAGTGGCTAACGACGTGCATCTGCTTCAATGAGAAGAACGGAAGAATGTGCACTTCTCTGGCAAACATGGAAGTGGACCCTAGAAACCAACTTTCCTCTACAAGCAGGACTCTTCTAACCACCGTCCATGCTTGTTTGGAAGATGTGCATGGAAGTTAGAAATGATGTCTCGCCTATTTGGGCCTTCGATTTGCAGTCGGAAATCGGATGCAAAAAGCCAAACCTAAGAGTGTCAAGGGTCCTTCCACAGGTGTCTCATGTCGTACCTTGCGGAGCTTTTTGGCATCTCAAGCATGGAGAAAAAGACGGGATGTTGGTAAAAATTGCAAGACCCACAGCGGCTGTTGGAATTCTTTCCACACACTTGCTGAACATCACTTGTACAAGACATCCTCCCATCTGTCGCCATAGCCACTTGGAGTTTGACGCGTAATAGGCCACCACGCAGCCCACCACAAAGAGCATCACACCGACAGCAAAGATCGGTGCAAGTGAGTTGTTGCAGGATGTGCATTGCTCCTACCAAAAAAGTCTTGGGAATCAGAAAAGGAAGGCTTTCAAGTACATCATAACACGGCCATGCCATCCAAAACACATCTCAGGAAATGTTCTGAGGTGCAGAATGAGTTCTGGAACGGACGCTGCTAATGGAGCGCAGGATATTGTAAATGTACAAAACCAAAGTAAATTGACGCAGGAACGTACCATCGCAAAGTGCATCCTGTGTCATATCCCGGCTCATGTCCGTGCACATCGCTTTCTTACCGATCAAAAAAGATTTTGTGACGTGTCGAGTGGATGGCACCACAAGTTGAGCGGATTTCGCATCCGCCGAAGAGCCTCCACCAAACAAAAGCCGTTCGGGCCGTTTGCTTCGGTTCGCTCCATGTGTCGAAGTTCTCTTCTTTTCGATCTCTTCATCCGTGTGTCACGGAACCTTTCGGCACCTCCCGAGTTCGATGACCCGAAAACGGTGGACCAGGTCCGAAAGCAACCGACGGGAACTCTCGCTGCGGGATCCTCGAGGAGGTACGTCTGGGCGGGGCATTCACCACAGGTGAAACCTTCTCGGCCACCGGAGCCTGAGGTTCGGCTCGGAGGGGTGCAGGAGTCCACGGCCAATTGGGTGCACACCAAAATCACTGTTTCAAGAAAAACCAGTGTGTGGGTATTCAAGTGTGTCTTTCGGGTTGTTCTTTGGAAGCGCAAGTGAGGCCCTGTTAGCTTGTCCGTGTTTGGGGAGGTGCCCGGCCCGGTGCCCAGAGAATACACAGGCACCGGTCTAATCCAGTCCACCTATTAAAAAACACGCCCCCCCCCCTAATAAGGAAACCTCGGTCGCATCTTTTTTAAATAGGGGGTCCCTGAAATCGGGGGGTCCAAAACAGGGTCACCTGGAAAGAGTTTCAAAACCAAAAAGTAATCCAGTAAAATTTTATATAAAATCCTTTATTAAACTCGTATCAAAAATGCAAAAAACCTCCAGAAGGGTCTTCCTTTTCCCCTACAAAAACCTTCATTAGAATAGTGATTCTTCAGTAGACTAACAGCTAAAGCTTTCGAAAGGGGATGTCGCTGTGCCATGCGGTGTTGCATGACCTCGGTGGCAAGTGCGTTTGCGTGAGTCCGTGCCATTGGGGGAAGGAAAGCCTGCTGGTGTAAGCGCGGCGTGTCATGTTGGATAGACAGGGCGGACAGAGATGGGCAGTTACGGTTGTTTTTGGAACCTAACAAGAAAAACCCCTCCAAAATCGGCCATGTTGGTAGTTTAGTAGCGGCTTGAAAGGGCGGCAATTTAAAAACACATATAAACCGTATTTATGAGGATCCGACATGACTTTTTTTTAATAGGGGTCCGTATTTTAATAGGTACTCGGGATTAGAACCTTGATCAAGAGTGATTCACTGAGTAACTAGGTCACTAGGTGTAAACCAGCAGTTCTGGACAAGAAGTTTGATCATTAGAAACACAGAAAAGAGTTGGCACCACCCCCCACCCCCTGGGTTCACCCTCCCGCATCCCTAGAGCTAACTTCTTTCCAAAGCCACAGCTGCCCGGCGCGCCGCCGGGACAGGCGGACCCACGGCAGCGGAAGGTGCCCAACGGCGACGCCGCCTCGCTCTTGAAGCCGAACTCCTTAGCGCCACACGTGCTAAAAGCAGTGCGCAGTGCGGATCGTCAGTTGTTTTCGGATCGTTTTCCTGAAAATGTTCAAGATGAGGTCACGATCTTAGGTGTCACCTCGGTGTCTAAGAAAAGAAATCTCAGCCAAAAAGAGCAAGAGCGCATTGAGGCGACTGGACGCCGTGCGCTCATTTGATCAACGGCTCCCATTACATGGTCCCTCAAGCTTCGAGCTTTTCAATCCCTGGTTGTCAGCTTTGAGCTTTGCCTATGGTTGGATCGGGTTAAATCCTCTCCGTTCCGTGGCAGATGCCACCTTCAACACTTTGACTCAAAGTTTGCACACTGGCAAGGGGGCATCCCGTGACCTCCGAAATTTGTTTTACGGAGCCGTTGTTTGGTTGCCGACTGTCCTTCTTACGCGCAGATGGAGGCGCATGGCTCGTGCTCTGAAATCGCAACGTCCTTTGTACAATTGGAATATAAAAGAACTCGGTTAAGGGATGAAGAACTTGGGTTTCGTTGAATGTGAACCTTGGGTTTGGAAGCCTCCGATCAAATGGAAAATTTTCTTCAAACAAAACGAACAATCTTTGGATTTGTCGGAAAACTGCAATCAGCCGCTCGGGCCGCAACTTCACATTCTTAGGCAGGGTCACAGACTTCAGGCCTTCTTAATTTCAAAAAACAGAAACGCAAAGACGCCCGAGCAGTAGCTAAACTGGGTGACATTGGGTTTGATCACTTTGTTCAGATTGATTTAAAGAGTTCAAGAAAGGAGTTGGAATCGAATGGTGCGGTGAAAGCCGCCTTCCTTGGCTCTTTTGTCTCGACGGCACTTTATAGCGCATGTCAGAAAGCAAATTACCATCAATCGGAGTGCCCCTTCTGTCAGTAGGTATGATGGATCATCTAATGTGGAACTGTGTTGCTAATCCTGTTGATTTCGCGATTCCCACTAATTTTCTTCAGAAACGATTTGGTTGGCATGTTTCTCGGTCACCCTTGAACAGCAAGGTATCGAGACACATTGCTACAACGATTGATCGCCTTTGGCAGATTCGACACAACAAATGATTTGCTGGTTGCACACTGAGGACTGCCGTGTGCTTGCACCCAGTCTAAGGAATTTCACCCAGGTCTTCTGCAGCATGGATTGCGCGGCGGACCCTTTGCCAGCTGCTCGCATTCTTCGGGCGGCAGCTGTGATTAACTTCGACGACGAGGGCCACGCGTGCTTCGGACGGTTTGCTGTGCCGAACGGTTTGGCTGAATTCTCTGAAGGCCTCCAACCAGGCCTCCAATCTACTAGCGATGGCCTCCAACCGGGTACCTTTCTGGTCCCAGGTGTCGTGTTCTTTTCCAAGAGCTCGAACCCAGGTGTCGGGGTCTCCCATGCGTCGTTTTAACATTGGGGGAGAGAACCCTCGGCGAACGGGGAGTTGCACCAAAGACCTTGGTTTTTACAGATGAGCCCTCATAACTGGTTGGCAAAGGAAAAGAATCTTCCAGGGGAAGAGGGTCCTCAATTTGCGGGAGGGTACAATAAAAGGTGTCCGGAAATCGTCTCTGCTAGCGGTTTCAATAGACCAAGCATTGCATGGCGACTGTGACTCAATGCAATAGTTTATGTAGATAGCACGACCTGCGCCATCCACATGATTGATGGTGTCGACCTTCTCAACATTCTTGCATGGCAACACCAACTGATGCCTCAAGTGTGTGCTCATGATGCTGATTGACACAAATTGTGGTAAGTGATGTTAAGGCTGTTAAGGCCAGTCAAAGGCACATCTCCTCAATGAGCTCGTCTTACACTCGCCCCTGAAGTCATCGGAATGTTCCCTGCGACATCATCCAGTCAAAAACATTCAAACAAAAATGTTTCCACCTATGCACGTTGGCTGTTTTTGTGCACAAAGACGTGCCTCTGTCTAGGAGGGATCATTACTTTCCCGTGCTGGTTGGGGAGTAGGATACCGTCCGTCAAGCAGAGTCTCTTGATGGTCTGTTGAGTTCTTGGTATCTTGGGTACACCATCATACTGAGTTTTGCTGTACAAACGGGCGGTTCTTCTCTTCATCGGAACCGGAGACCACCCAGAGACCGCCACGAGTTCAACCGGTGTAAGGAGTTCCGTGTTTCTGCGGCCAAGCCTCCACGTGAGGCAGTTCGGGGTTCGACTCTTTGTTTGTTGCGAGCTCCTGCGGTGAAAGATCCATCCTTGGTTGGTGCAAAAATCCCCGAAAAGGCGCCTCTAACAGGTCGATCTGAATCCCCTATGGCCCTATGGGCAGTCTAATCTGATTGATCGACTTGAGATAAACCCCTTCAGCAGCATGGACCCACTGTCCTTCAGAGTGCTCCCCAGCGGACATGCAATGCCCGTGCCGCAAGGCATGCATTGACCGTTCACTTCAATGGATCCCACCTATTCAGGCCGGGCGGGTCGAGTGCGCCATCCCGCCGTCGAGTGCTCGTTCCGTTCCACGTCACATCGGGTCGGACTGTCCGAACATGAAGCTGAATTAGAAAGCAGACCGTCGTTCGCAATTACTTTGGGGGGGGGCACCCTTTTCTGGTTGCTTGAGGCACAAGATATCACCACCATACCAGGGGATGTTCTGTCTTAAGCCATAGACTCCATAGACCATAGGCAGTGCTTCTGAACCCCAATTGCTCTTGAGCAAGAGAATCGCAAACAGAAACGACAAACAAACCGTCGTCTAGTTTGACTCTTTAGGTCACTAGTAGAGGTCTGAAGTTTTGGGGGAAAGCTCTGCTCCTTTCCCTCCCCCACCAGCCACCTCCACTTCCGGCCTGGCACACGCAATACTCCTGGCCGACGGCGCCCAGGATCTTGGTCGTGCGCCCGGCATCGCAAGGCGTGCAGGAGGTGGAGGCCAAAGAGTCTTGGTAGAAGCCTTGCTGGCAGGGTTGGCAGCCTGTGCTGCCCCACACGTCGCTCATCGTGCCTGAACAAAAGAAGAAAGCGGAAAGCCAGGCAGACACAGGCGGTTGAGAGGATTTCAGCATGGATCGTGCTACATGGACCAGGGCTCCAGGTGCCCCCACATGTACTGCAGCACGTTGTGGATGGGATATGATGGGATGGGATTTGTCCTGCAAGTCCTGCAGTCGGAGCCTTTCCCGCTAGACCGACCGACCATGAATGGCCTGCAGGGTCCCTTTGGGGGTCCAGGAGTAGTCGTACCGTGAGTGAAACACATCCGGCGCTTCGGAAAGGCGGAGGGAAATCCAACCAGCGCCCGTCTGGGGGCCCAGTTCGTTGGAGATGCTCCAGTTCTGTCTGGGTTTCAGTCATCCGAAGGAGCTGATCAACTGGGTGAACTGATCATGCTATGATATGAATGGATCTTGCAGGTTCTGCGTTCCGACAGCCGGTGAAGGGAGGGACAGCAGATGGGTAATCTGAAGAAATCTTCGGGCAATAAAAGATCAACCACAACATGTCCCAAAAGTAGCTCTCAACCAAAAGCATGGAGACTTCTTCTGTCAAATCCTTGGTCATCCCATGTTGCTCATCTCTCAACTGCAGCTCAGTAGCCTCTGGGACACGGTTCGCACTGGGTTTTGTAGGTGTTTGCCTGGCTACGGCCTCAGTGCCAAGTCTTCCGGATTGCTGCGCACCATGGATCTTGCCTTGTTCCCCAGGTCTATCGCCAAGTGCAGGGGTCCATGGATTCAGATGGTGTTCACCCTTCACAAACCGCCCGATCAAGTACACTAGAAATGTTGGTAGTTCTCTTCTCAGCTGAAGAGCTCCCCCCGGCTCGCCCCCCAGCTCGCCCCCAGCTCCCTCAGCTCTGCACTCCCACCTGCCCGTCGCGGGCCCCGCGACGTCGCGGGCCGCAAATTTTTCTCCGGTGGTTCTGGGTTCGGGACCATGGACGCCAAGTCTATGTTGACTCCCACAGTTTCCCTGGAAAATACAGGTGCATCTTGTTCCACCTGTTGGATCTGACTGGGGAAGCCTGGCTTTTTAGGAGCCAAGGTGGTCCACGGACTGGAGAGGTTGATATCCGACCAGCCTGAGAGTCAAAGATTATAGACTATAGAAAGAATTGGCTTTAGAGTGCTTGAAAGAGAACTTCCTTTCCTTCACTGAGCAAAATCTTGTCTTTCGACTTTTAGGGTCTGTGTCATGTCTGATCTCGTCTAAACACGAGTACCTCATGTCAACCAGACAGCACAAACCCCTCCATTCCTCATTCATCGGCCTCCTTCCCCTCCACGAAACCCCTTCCGTCCAGGGCTCCGGGTTCGCATGCGGCGCAGCGATAGCTCTGGCCGTCGTCGTCCCGAAACTCTTGGGAGGAGGTGCCCGCGGGACACACGTAGCACGACACCGCATCGTCGCGGCGCTGCACGAACGATCCGTTCCTGGCACCGGTGGCGGAGCGTGTGCCGTGGTGGGCGAACGTGGAGGAGGCCATGAGAGATGTGAAGATCTCAGCAGTCAATGATGATTTTCTATGTAGGATGTCATTTACACGAGAGATGGTCAATGACCCAGTGGGCCAAAAGATGTCATTGATAGAAGATCAGGAGAGGACAGTGCTACAATAAATAGGGTCAAAACCTGTAGCAGCTACTTAATATTACTATCTGTATTCATATTGCCCATGTATCCGCTTCTTGCGAGAAGGTGGGGTTTTGCACTGTGCTGCTGGAACTGGCCCAGCACCACCCCACGCAGATCACGGACCAAGTCGCACAGCTACCATGCCAAAGCCGGGCATGCAGTTGGTCTCAACGGGAACCCAGCTCTTCCAACCTCGCTGGCGGTCAGAAGAGCGTCCCAAAAGGGATCCCAAACGGCACTTGATCAACTCGCCAAAAGGAGGAAAGGCTGGATAGGCTTCGTTAGGAACCCTGTAAGAGCCTGGCTTTTGGCTCAGAACCAATAAGTGCTCAGGAAGAAGAATGGCTTCTTTTGGATCTCTCAGTTCAGGGTAAGCTTCGGGTCGGACACCAGGTTCGGACTGCTCATCTCAGCAGGTTCCAACTGTGGGGCGTCCGAACCCATCAAATGTCAGCTGCGGAACCGCTGTACATTCGACGTCCGCACCAAAAGGTTCTTGGATCTCCTGCCCTGCACATCAATGCCGTCAATGCCTTTTTTTTCACACGTCCACCCTTCCAACAAAACCGGAAGGGCCCAAGCTTTCGGTTTCACCCACCATCCGTTTCGGTCGAAGCTGGCTTGCCCGGCCACGCTCTTGTAGCTGGTTGATCCATCGGCATGCGACCTCGAACTTGTTGCCCGTGCGACGAAACCTGGGCCGTTGACAGATGTGAAGATCTCAGCAGTCAATGATGGATTTTCTATGTGGGATGTCGGTATAAAAATATTACACGAGAGATGGAATATCCACTTATCTCAATAGTGGGATGTCTCTCTATAGTGAGATGTCAATATTCCAATCGGCCCAAATATGGCTGTGGGTCATGGCTCCGGTGAGTTCGATCCTTGAATATGACCTACGTACCCCCCATGGTCACCCCCGCGTTCCCTCACTGGGAAGACTCGCTTCCAAATGCTTCCAAGGTCTTCTTTGTCATCATACTGTTTTGTGGGCAAGGAGGTTGCTGCTTGAATCTTGAGGTAAATCTTTCATGGGCCAACCGAGCGGTGCAAGAGTTCAGATTGAGCCCAACTTAGAAGCACTATATACCCACAATTGACCGCTGCTCGACTTGCATGAGGAAGCCCCAAACAGGTCGGGTGAAAGCCAACAACGTTCGGATCTTATCCATGTCTTCGCAACCAGCACTGGCCGGTTCAAAAAAAAACACAGCTGAAATCCATCAAGAAACAAAACAGAAAAGGACTCTCCGGCCTAACCACCCAACCCGAAATCTCAAAGCTCTGGTTCAGCTTCGCCATGTTCTTTCCGCGCGCCAAACACGGCCCCTGCGGGTTAAAAACAGGGAAGGAACCTCTCCCCGATGGTCCCAGACTCTCCCGTTGCGTCCCAGACTCTCCAAGAGCAAATCTTGAACCTCCTGGAGCCTCGGTGCAAGTGGAGGCCCCCTTCAGCCTGGCCTGGTCAACGGCCCCGTCCGGCTAGCGCAGCCTGGTTTCCGAAAAAGGGATGAAACAGGTACACTCCAATCGAACGCATCCACATGGTGCAAGTGGAGGGAACTCCACTTCTGTTCTTGAAATGTGGTCTTTCCTTTCGGGAGCATGCCATCCACTTCCCGTGGAAAGAAGAGTGAGTTTCAGTGTAGACGACCAAACCCAGCGCCTGAGTCTGGCCAACGCGCAAGAAACTGGAAGGGAGGCCCCAGAGGCTTGGACGGGTGTTTTCGAGCTGGGGCTGAGGACTCCTAAACATCTCGGATAACCCAACAACGAGACTTTTGGTGGACATGGTGACAAGCTATGTCTAGCTTGAGATTGATGGTCCATCTGAGAGCCATGTCTCTAACGATTCTGAAAAGCCTCCTGAAGCCCTCAGACCCTTGCTTTCCTGAACCGGGCCAGACCATGGGTGCTGGGTGTGAGTTCTGTAGGATCCTTTGCTTCGGTGCAGGCTTCAGCCCAAGCCAAGCACAGGATTGCTCTCTGAACATCTCAAATCTCAAGTCGCCACACCAACCAAAATATCATCCAGCAAACTACTTCTCCGCCTCAATCACCTTCAATCACCCCCAAAAAGCCACCAAGAAAGATCCCCAAACCAGAGCCCACTTCCGCCATCGCTCCACCCAACCACTCGACCAAACTAGTCGCCCTTCACACCGGAAGGTACGAACACCAAACCTTCGTCCTTCTCCCCGACGAACTAAGGCGCTCAAAGTTGATGTTGCCCACGAACTCGGAGACCTTGGAAGCCTTGGAGACCAAATTACTGCTCACCATGTTGGCGATGTAGGTGCCTGACGAAGAGCACCGTCCCGACCCTGTGCCGAGCGAAGGAGAGGATTTCCGCTCCAGGGTTCAACACAATTAAGTCTCCGCATCCAAGATCTCAAGGGTTCAATTGGTGTCCCAATCTTGCATGAGTCTCCAAAGTTTTCTTATAACTTATAGTGGCCACTGCCCAAAAGACACAATAGATTGGCCATGCCTGTCCAGAAGCAGGGCACCGGAAGAGGCTCCAACCACACTCTGAGCAGGGACGCTCCTTGCCTGCAGCGCCCGACTTCTTGTCTCCCCGCAGCCATTCGGAGCGGCTGTGGCGAGGAAAGGTCAGCTGATGGGGCTGCATCTCCTCAGTTTCATCGCAGAAGTTTCTAGATCTGGGAGACCCATGAGTCAAGCATGAAAAACTATACGGCGAACTGGCAGAGAACTACAAAATAGGAAAAAAAAAAACGATCTTGGGCCCAATTGCAGGGGTCATCTATCAGTAGCTATGGGATGCTATGGGTACACAACCACGAGCTTGAAAGGTGTCTTCAAACACCTCGTCAGGTATCTTCGAGTGGGACATGAGCAGCTGGCAGCCCTGGCAGCTGGCTTCACTCTTGGAACATCTTTCAGCTCACCATCTGTGTGTTTATTTGAATAGGGAGACCCAATTTCTCTCCCCCTGCCTGGGTAGACCGGTCTATTTCCCGAACCTGACCCCCCCCCCGGGGCGGTCGGAACACCGGATGTCGGTCTCGTCTTGAGCTACACACCCACCCCTTCTCTTCAGAACGCACCGGAACGCACCGAGCAACACCCCGTCTCGCCCCGTCTCAGCTCCGGAACCCTTCATTGTTCTGAACAACCCAAGGAGCAATGAAGGTGGAGTCCGGAACCCACCAATAGTGCAAGGCACGGGTGTTCTCCACATGCTTCACCTCACCAGGTCACTGCTCTTACAAAGTTCCATGACGAGTGGACAAAAAGTTTAAAACAAAAAAGAAATATATTTCTTTTAAAAAAAGAAACATGTTCCTCTTCCAGCTTCTTCGAAGTGACCTTTCGAAGGTTCCTAAGTGACCCTTGGGAGGCTTAAGTGACCTCAATCAAAAGGTCACTTTGAAGAACCAAGTTCTGAGCCTTTTCTATTCGGCAGTTTCCCGGGCCCAAGATGCGACTCTGACTCTCAAACCTGTTGAAAACCGCTTCCATGTTCAAAAGTCCACGACATGAGTCCCCAGACGGCCAGCTCGTGATGCGTATCTGACCTCCTGACCAGCTGACCAGCTGACCCATGCACTCCCCCGCAGACGGCCCCATGCACTTCTGAGAAAAACACATCATTGGCGCTCCATGGTGTCCTAACACCCACATCCGCCCAAAAGACCCGCCCCAAATCCGCCCCAAAGCCCTCCACTGTGACTCGGTCCCGACCCATCCCACCGCGTTGGTCGTTTGGTCCGGCGCCAGGGTGCAAAATCGCTCCATTGATCTGAGATCCCCACAGCTGCCGGAAAGCCGTACACGGAGACCCAATGCCTTGGATGGGTTCGAGTCCTGCTACCCGTGGTGCTTCGTGAGAAGTCCTGCGTGGTGCGAGTCCTGCACGGGAAGCAGGAGTTTTTGCATTATCAGAGCTTGTGATGCACTGAGTCGACCATTCCCGGCGTCTTATGGCCGGTGTTAGAAGTTATGTCCACATCCAGATTGTCTGATGTCCAACGAATCTTGCTCCAAGAGGCATGATCGCTTGCAACCTCCAGCCGTTTCCGGCTGAGATCACTGGCAAGCATTCTGTGGTGTTCTGTCGGCAGGCGGGCGCAGCCCACCAGTAGCCATCAAAGCACTTGGCAAAGTAGCTGCCATCCTTGAGCTTTGGCAAATGGAATGAAGGTGTAAGAAGAATCTGTGGCAGCCTAGTTACCCACAGCATGAAGGAAACCACTTTCCACAATCTTGCCTAACAGGCCAAAAACCTGTGCGAAATGCCACCTGTCTCGATGAGGTGCTGTGGCGTCAGTCTTCGAAACATCCTCAATCAAAAAAATATCAGAGAAGGGATGTGACACAATGTTTAAATTAGTTGAGGCTAAGCCGCTAAGCATGTCACACTACTCAGTCTGGTTACTTGCTGGCAAAACCTGCTGCCTTTTTTCAACCCAGCTAAGCAGCGAAGCAGCTAAGCAGCTAAATGCTTCAAAAGCACGCACCACAAAAGATCGAAAAAATGACGCCGACTTGGGTCTCCCAACAGAAACCAAAGACAACAGCGCCCGAAAAAAGAGACCTCTGCGACTTCTGCGGGCTTTCGCCGGACCCGGACTTGGGGGACTCCCTGACCGGAAGATCGGACCACTGGAGCCAAAGCCTTCGATGGGAGTGAGCAAAAGCTGACGCCGTCGATTCATCCACCTGGCTTCTTTTTCCATCGGCCACAGACCACCGGTGTGTACAAGAGGCGCTTCGCACGCCGAACGCTGAAGCAGAACGCCTCTCATGCGCCAAGCATCCGGCTGCACTTCGACTCCATCATAGTCACCTGTATAGAGGAGATAGTTCCCAATCCTCTTGGCAGTCCCGAGTCACAACTGCAGAAACTGACACCGAGGAACTGGAACACCCGTCACGACCAGAGAGACCCCGCCGATCTGTGTCTTTTGGGGTTTCGGTGGTTTGCGGGTGGGTTCGCGAAGGGTCAATCCCTACGGTCTAGATGTGGAACGAGCCCATATCTGAGCTCTGGAGCCCAACAAATGAAAAGTAGCGATGACCACATGCGATGAAAGCATGCTACCAGTACCTGCCAACATCAGTTCTTCAACAACAGCGTAACGTCTTCAATAGAGTTCTCAGAGAGCAGCTTTCCTGGTTCAGAGGGGTGAAGCATCAACTGTTGCACATCCTCAGAGTGATCACGGACCGTTGGTATGACCTCTTTCACCAAATCCTTTCAGTCACCACCGGACGGAGGCCCGGGAACGCAGTCCTCTGTGGATTGTTGAAGTCGGTGGTGTTGCACAGCTTCAGCTCATTCTTCGATACATCGCCCAAGGAATCAAAGTATTGCTTCCTGAGTACTTGTCGACGTCAGGTGGAAACGTCAAGCGGAGGCACTTGGCGCCCAAGCTCTTTCTGAGAACCAAGCAACAACTCCTTGACAGGGCCAAATGATGAGAATGCCCAACAGCCCAAGGACTAGGTTGGGTGTCTCTTTCCATAGACAAGCTGGCCAATCAGATCGAGAGCCCTCACAGACAGTGCCAAATGTGCCAAAGACCATGCCGCCCAGCTACACATTGTTGTGTGATACGTTGTAGCTCTTGTAGTATTCCAGTGCAATCCCGGAATGCTCATAAGCTGCGTTCAACACTGTTTGGCTGACCTGAGCCATGAGCTGGAAAGCAGCGAACTTAGCTACACAAGAATTGTCAAGGCACGGGTTGATTTGCAGGACCAAAAACTTCTAACACATGACGGTTGCTTTCAAAGTCCCACAAATGTTCATCTTTCCCACATGGCGGATCACCAACAAGTGCTGGGTCAAGTCCTGTCGATCACATCGCCCACGCCACTCACATCGCCGGCATCGCCACCTTCCACTCCCGTGAGCGCTTTCTTCCTCATCCGGAGATCTTCGAGAACGACGAAGAAAAAATACCCCACAAAAACATTCATCCCAGTGGCATAGATGGACTCTTCACCTCGGCTGAACAGCTGGGATTCGGAAAATGGGAAAAGTAAAAATATAAAATAACAAAAACATCATCAATTCATTGTGATGATGATGATGATGATGATAATGATGATGATGATGATGATGATGATGGTGGTGGTGAGGTCACCTAACCTGTGATCAAAGCCCTCTGATATCCTTGGATTCTATCCAAATATCGTCATTCTCCAAACTCACCTGTGAATCTGGGGATCGGTTCCTGCCACTTCGTCGGCGGCGGCGGGGGACGCCTTCCCGGGTTTCGAGGAGCGTTCCGCCGCCTCCGCCTCCGTCGCTGAGCGTTCCGCCCAAGAGGCCCTCGTAGCCAATGGGCCCCAAATCGACGGGAGCAATCTCCGGGAAGCTGCTCTTCATTGCCTCCTGTCGTTTCTGGTTTGGCGACAGACCTTTTGGGGATCTGAAAGGGTCCCAGCAGTCGGGGCCATGGGCCACAGGGGTCTAGCCTGGGAAAGGCCGAGCTCCAAAGCGTTGTGTAGTCCTAGCTGCTAGCCTTAAGAACATTGGAAAAGCACCCGGAAGTGGAATAGGGTGCTAGCCGCTAGCTCGCCTGCTGTCAACAAAGTTCAGAGTTCTCCAGTGAGTGCGCTGAAAATGCCTTGTTGCTTGGAGATTCACCCTAGCATGGGCTAGTAAGGATTGGGACCCAACAAAAACTGGGCATCTGCAATGAGGAATGCACTTCCACCTCATGATGTCCACCAAAACTCCCAATTTTCTCGATGTTGGCAGATCTCAACTAGTAGTTTTTTGCCTTAGCTACTAGTAGCGTTCTTGCTCCTAGTAGCGATGCCAGAGGTACTAGTTTCTGGCCTAGGGCCTAGAATGACATGGCCTGGATTTGGCAAAACCATGTATTCTGTGACCGTCTGGTGGCCGAGCAAGTGGCTCGAGAGCTGGAGGCTTTTCCTTCCAATGTCATCCTTGTTTTCCTTCAGATTCCACTAAATGAAAACAAAAAGGGTCTTCCGACCCTACAAGTCCCAGCATCACAACGCTGTGGTTTTGGGGTGAACTGACTCGGCGGCAGAGCAGTGAACGAGTCCGCAGTCTTTGTTCACCTGCTTTTATATTGTTGTGAACCAGAGGCCACTCTGTTTGCTTCATTAGAATGATTCCGTTGAAATGCTCACCAAACAAGACGAGGATATCCGTGAAGTGTGATGAATTCCTATAAAATCCTAGCCGGATACGAATGAGAACCATGAGAAAGAGCTTCGTTCCTCTTCCCACCAACAAAGACACCTACAACGACCGAGGGTTTTGGACGGCCACCGGAGCCACCGGATGCTATCCGGTCCAAGACCCATGTCCGGCCGCCGGCTCGTCTGCGTCGGAACCGACATCGGGACGCAGGGACCGAGCCACGTAGGCGGCTGGGAAGCTGCCCAGCCAACTGTCGATGGAGACGTGGATCTTGGTCTCATTGATCCCACACCTCGCCGGACCCGTTTTTCGTTAACTTGGGGGCGGGAAAGCTCCGGAGGCCTTGGTGGCGGAAATTCTGCTCCTCAAAAAGAAGGGTGGTGAGATTCAGACCTCATGCAGCATGGGAATCATGGGCAAAAGAAACGGGGAGTTGTGACTCGAGGTGTTCCACTCTGATAATCTTCTCAGCTGAGATGACAACTTGCTGGAGGCCACTTGGGAACAAATGCAATTTCAGGGTGTGGCACAAGTAACTCAAAGCTGAGCAAAATCAAATGATAAATGTTCGACGGTATCTATAAGTGTTTCTTGCCAAAGCCACCTTTGTCTGGGTGAGACCAGTGGCCGTTGGCTGAATTGAAGGGTGAAAAGCCCAGCTGCCACGGTGACAGCGACCTGTCCCTGTCGCAAGACTGGCCCTCGTGCTTACCAACTCCTTGCTCCACCCCAGGACTGGCCCCCAGTTCGGCAAAAAAACTGGCGCCTCTTCTCTTCGAAGAGAGGGGCGTTGGCAGGAGCATCAAAGTTGATACAGCCAGCTAGGGCGAAGATTGGAGATGCGCCATTGGCACCCAACCTGATTTGATCCTCTCTCTGAGATTGACGGTAGTGACATTGCATGCTGGCAGGTGACCACCTGGTGGTCTTGCAGTGCGGAAACGAAAACGTTCCGAGTCACGCAATCTCCGTGTCCCAAAGTGATTCGGTCGGAGTTTTCCATGAGTCCCAGGAAACTCATCGATTCCGATACTCTGCCCAGAGACTTTTCGTGGATGTGCACGTGATATCCTCGGTTGCTTGAACGTCGGAACGTTCGGAACGCTTCGATTCGGAACCTCCGTTCGATTCGGGATCCGGGGCCTGTTGCTCACCTCTTTCCACTCGTTGGCGTCTTTTTCAGACTGGTGGCCGCACCAGACGCACCCGACCCGCAGCCCTGCTTTTGAAGGAAAGGCTTAAGACTTAAAAACCATGGACACATTGTTGTATCAGGTAGTGCAGAGCTGAGGAAAACCACTCACGCGCCAACACGAACCCAACACCTCACGCGCTTGGGAATAAGCTGAGTACCCTCGCCACATGTCGAGGGCGCTCGGCGACTCGTCGGCCGCAATCAAACACGTCGAATCCAAAAAGTCTCAACAGGACAAGGTGGGTCAAGCCTCAAGTACCCTTGGGTACCTCAATACGAGCTCCAACCAGCTTGGCTCGATTGTTATTTGTCTCCTTTCTCGGAGTCGCCCCAAAGTCTCGGCACCAGTTATACAGATCTCTACAACACTTAGAAGTATGTCGATCATGTGCAATTCCCCAACTGCAAACAGAACGTTTCAGTGCCAAAAGCCTGATAAATAAAAGATCCAGCGGTTTCACTTCTGCAGATCCAATCAACTGAAGCCACTTCCCTCCCCTGTCCCTCGCCGAGGCTCCCAAGGCTTCTCCAATCAAGATCCGCAGCAGCTCGCTTAACAACTCCGCAGAGGGCCATGCACCCTCTAAGAGACCGATGGAGATGTCCTCGCTTCATCGCTGTCCAACATGGCGTTGCGTTGAAACCAACGCGTTGAGTTCGAAAACATCATGTTGTTTTTGGCTCGCCTCGCTTCTCATCTCTCAGACTGTCTGATAGCTCATTTCATGAGAGATCAAATTGACCACTAAAATTCACCAAAAACGGCGATGTCCGACCCAACAGCAACAAACGGAGGGGTCGATGCCAGGTTGTACACACATTGGTTGTTCACGACCAGGAGTATCCCCCTCTGTTCGAAAGCCAATAGCCAAAGGCCATGACCCGTCTCCTGACCCTTGTCACTCAAATTCTACCTGCTGAGTGTCCCCTTCGCGGTCACTTCTCAGAACTATGGAACTTTCCATTCGGGAAGAGTTCTGAATCATACTGACCAAGTGGTCATCGGCACAACGTTCCAGGGCGAGGAGCACTTCAGAACCGGGTTTCCCCCATCCTGAACAAAAACCCGAATGGTTTGGTTGGTCAGCTGTCGAGGTCATCGTGTCCCCAAGCCTGGGGGACGCGCCACGGGGACGCGCCCTTGGCCGCGCCCGGTTGCGCCCAGAACCTGTGGACCCCCTTGTGGCCGCGCCATGAGTCCGATCCCTCATCATTCTGGATGTATTTACCTGGGCACCGAGAAAACGATGCACCTTCACCTTCACCGGAATACCACCCTACAAGGGGTCTCCACTGAGGACCCGAAGCAACGAACAAATGGAAGCGGAATTCCACCTGTTTGGTCTTGGGAAAAGTAAAACATCCATCCATCACATCCCTTTCTACAAGAGTGAATCATGTCCAACTATTTCCACACTGCACCTCCGTGCAGTTTCCACACGGTGCGTGTCCACTATGTGCTTGATTGAGATGAAATGCTTTCGGGAAGAGTGATCCTAGACAGCCACAGGAGCATCTACCAAAGAAATGGAAACGGTACAGATCTCAGAAAGAAGGCCAGCGAGACAGTGGCTTTTAGAAACCCTTTTTGAGTCCAGCTTTAGTACTCTCAGCCATACACTTGAGGTATAAACACTGTTCAGTCAGAAAATTACACTTGTTCCAAAAATTCTAGACAATAAATTGTGGGGTATCGCTGAATCATCCTGGGATCTGAAAAGTTTGGAGAAATCAAGTCGGAGAATCCGAGAGCTGAAAGGTAAGATGAAAATCCATTCAGTTCTGAGTGTCCAACCATCTTGATATTATACGAAAACCACCTTTCTTCCTTTACCAGCAAACATCAGCCACCGGTTTCAAATCTTTGCTGCTCAGCCACGGTTTGCAACGGGCACACCACCAGGCAAGCACTTTTGCTGGTCCTGTCCGCTGCTCAAAGCGGCCAAACAAAGGATTCGATATAAAGCGAGAACCCCCATTGGCAAAGACCTTCAACCGCTGACAGGATGAATAACAATGATCATCCATCTGATTGAGCCGAATGGCACACCGAGATCGGATTGAAGATGAATGGCCAATCCACGCAGAAGATCTTCATAAACGTCAAAAATATGTCAATTTGAGGAGGGTAAAAACCCACATGACCAGGAACAAATGCGTCTTCTTTCTCCAGCCAAATAGTTTAGATGTCCCTTGACTGTCCGTTTGTCCGCTCCGCTTGTCCGCTAGCAATGTGTGCGGAGTGGATTATTGCGGTTTCGCTTCGTTCGGCTGCGAGGTGTGATTCGTCTCACCCACGTTCAGACTCATTTTCCGTTGAGTGTGTTGTGTTTGAACGGTCCACACCCTAGCTCATCCCCTTAACTGCAGGGGTGGGTCCGTTGAATTTGTAGTGATTCTTGCTTGGTTCGCAAAGCGCAGTCATCCATGACGATCCCTTTTGATCAGGAATCTTTTGCACGAGTGCAATGTGGCCCCCCCGTTGCGACCATGCGCAAGATCACACGGCTCAACCACCCGTTCTTGTTTTTGCAACGCTGCAACGATCTATTTGGCACGGTTTTCGCGTGAATCGCTTACAGGGACCTTTGGGCATCCAAGTAATTGTGAAGAAAAAACGTCCAGGAAGAAGCACATGAATACGGAGTTGTGCACAGAACACCCCATCGGACAAAAAGATTTAAATGATCCGCCCGCACGACTGTCCTGAGGCGTTGTATAGGCTTCGGGGCAACCCACAAGCCGGAAGAAACCGGAAACTGCTAGATAAATAGTTTAAGCGTTAGCTTGGGGGGTGTGAATTTGCCGATGTTGATCTCAGGATGTATGTGTGATTGAACTTGGAAGGGTGTCGGCCCAAGCGTGGCCGGAAGCCTTTTGCGGTACGTGCGCGCTTCATGGAAAAGCTGAGGATCAGTGCTTGAGTGGATTCGTGCACGTTTTTATCCTCACGCTCGTTCACTGTGTTTCTCTATGTTTGGTAGCACGCTCGTTTTGAGGGACGCGCTTCGGTAGCGGAGTAGTTTTCAACTAGCAAACAGTGCATCAACATGACTGTACATTTCTAGGTGTCCATCTAGATGAAAAAGGTTAATACCCAGCCTTGATGCGAAACGTCTTAGTTCCCATCATCTTTTCTCTACAATGTTTGCTGCGGAATCTACCACTTCAAGGTAGCACTGACAAGGTCTTCCGCATTGAAACTCTAATGTATCTATGATACATGATACATCCCGTTCCGACATCGACATGTCATTCCCATGAAACTCTTCAAAAATTCTGTCATTTGGATACATGGTTCAGACGGTTTCACGTATCCACAACTGCTCTCAAAATTGTAAACCTGCCTTGCAAAAAACAAATCCATCGTTAACCCAAACAATGTCGTATTGTACCGTGGTTCAGCTGGTTTCACGGCACACACCACCACTGAGTGTCTATGGTTCAGATGGTTTCATAGAACACTCCAACAAAAGACATGCATTCCACATTCAAGTTGAAATCAATGTCTGCATTGTTGCTATCATCCGACTCTGGTTCGCTATCAAAATGATGTAGCTCTTGGTACTCGGGATCGCTTACCTCATCCAAACCGGATTGTAAATATTTGTGCCTCATTTGGGATGCTGTCTCACCGTCTTCACTTTCATGATCACTCTCCGGTTCATGTCCGTCAGACTGTGTTGTTTGTGCTACATCTGTATGTAAGCTCCTTCCTGGCAAAGTACTCGAAGTAAAATACCCATCTTGCTCATCAACATGTTGTGTCGTCTGACTGCCCATTGCTTCTGCTCCTGTGCAGTATTGCGTCTCTATGCTCTCACCTTCAGGTTCATCTTCCTCTTCAATCTCTGCACCTGGATCACTTGTACTGTCGGGCGACAAATCGGTCATCCCCGGACACATGAGCTCGCCTTCGGACTCCTGCGTCATGATTTTCCTCCAAAATTGCCAACTGCATTTGGAGGATTCTCTGTCTGTGGTGGTACCTTCTCAGCAATCATGATCCATGGATCCCATCTCGGAGGGTCCACCGGAATGGAGTTAAACACTGGTGGAGGGTGTTTCGATGGCATCTGTCCTTCACTTGCATTCACTTCAACATTCAGTTTCATCTCTGCACATCAGAAGTGAGACTTTTTTTTGCACGAATGGAGGCGCTGTGTGTGCAGGTTGTGCACAAGTCACCTTAGTCGAGTGAATAGAGAGTTACCAGCCAGGTTGCTTTTTTTCCACGAGTGCGGACGCCGTGTGGGCGGAGTGCCCAGGTCATCATTGAAAGGGAAGGAAACACAACATGATGAGGGGAAAAGAACACAAGCAACCCCAAAACCAAGCAAAACCCACCAAACCAAAACAAGCACCAAAAACCAAGAAACCACCAAGGCCAGAGGCCGATTCCCCCTCATCTAAACGTGTTTCCTCTGTACGAGGGTGAGACAAATGCAAAAAGGCAAAAGCTGACTGCTAACTAACTATGGGCCTGAATTCACTACGAAAGTCGGTCGGCATGGTCAGCACAAGAGGGAGTGCAGCGGAGCCTATCAAAGGGGCCTCGCCCCACCCACAAAACTGTGACCAAGAGGGCCACTGCTTCGAGCGGCGAAAGTGATGATCGGGTGCTTTGCAAGAGCTGCATTGTTTGTTGTCAGCCAGTCTGATCCTTGCCCAGGGGAATCAGTTGTTGCTCTGCCTAACAAGCCGTGGAAAAGGCCCATCTCGTGGCACAACCCTTTCAATTGATTGCACGACAGAGACGAGAGGCATGTCGATTGTCAGACAGTGGAGGCAGAGACAACGAAAGGGGTTCGCTGACGAATGTGATGCCATCCCCCCCGAAGGGAGGTCACCATTGCACCCCTTAGCAGTCAAGGAGTGCCAATGCAGTACTCTCTGTTCCAGAAGGAGAGAGAGGTACTAAGATGCGAAAGTCTCCTGTTGCGTGCAAGGCCCGGGTGAAACCAGTGAAACGTGGACCTATCCTAGCATGGTACTTGTGCCCCTTTGTACAGCAATGGTCATGGCTTGGCCGCTGCAAGGAGAACTAAGGTTCCCCCTGGCAACCTTCCATTACCATTCTCTACCACCCGCCTCTTAGGAGCGAAAGCTAAGGCTCTCATTCCTGCAGGCTCACTGTAATGTTGTGACTGAGACCGAAATGATGGCTTCGCCTGAGCGTTCTTGAGCCTGGCTCACCACATCGAAGCAGGATAGCAGTCCATCTCCACTGTCATCCGAGCGTTGCCAGTCTAACATGTGGCGTTATGGAAGTCGTCTCTCCATTGGTCATTTGCATTTGGCGGCAGGAATCGGAGCCACTGGGGCTTGTCCAATTGCTCGCATTTGTCAAAGGCATTGAGCCGGGCATATGTACCTCGCCATGTCTTGCTTTGCCCTTTTTTACGAACTGCTCGAAGTTGCGTGCAACCTGCAAAAGCACGCCGCGCAATGTAAAGCAGAGATGGTGGGATGCAGACTTCTTGCAGCGAGGTACACTTAAGAAAGGCTTCTTGCTCAATGATTCGTAGGTTTGGGGAAAGGCTGAGTTGCTGCAGCTGCGAGCAATGCGCAAAGGTTGAGCCCAAAATTTCAACGACGTCCGTTTGGGACAAATCAACAGTTTGCAGTTGCTGGCAGCTCGTACAGGCGGCCACTCCTATCCTGTGAAAATCTGACGATAGATAGAGTGCGACGATGCCTGCTTCCAGGAAGCAGCAGTCAGGCAGACTTCGGTTCGGATATGTCGGGCCTCGCCATTCCTTACCTAAATCGAGGCGCTGTAGGGCCGTGCGTCCTTGAAACACACGGGGCCGCAATTGTGCTTGGGGGGCGAGAATATTGTTAGGGCACTGCGTCACTCCTATTTGTGTTAGGGAGCAACACTCCTCGAAGACCTTAGCACCGAAATGTTGGCAGCCAGGGGCAATCACTACTCGTAAGGCTCGGCAGCGGCTGAAGGCACCATGCAGCAGGCTGACGATCGTGTCTGGCAGGTGGACCACTTGCAGCTGTCGACAACTTCTCCACGCCGCTTCTCCTACAATCCGCATACCGGGTTCAACCAGGACATGACGGACTTCCGTGTGAAAGGAGAAGGCTTGCGGTGGGATTTTATCATTCCTACCACGCGGCACTCTGATTGCCTTGGCTTCCCCTTTGAGTTGCCCTTTGTGTGCTGCCTCTACAAAACATGGCCGAGCAATCACATAGTAGCAGTGGTTGGCTCTTAGTTTGCTCTGTATGGGGTCTGCTAGGACTTGGTGGGTGTCTGTTTGCACAAATTGCAACTCGCACCCCAGGGTGCTACTGCATCCTAAGTAGGGGAGCTCTGCTAATACGGCATTTTCAAAACCCTGAATGCCGGTATGTGCATTCAGATCTACCTCAATGGGCAGCTTCTCTCCTGCCAGCGTGAGGAAGGTACAGGTCTGTGCCACCATCCTTTCTTCACAGCAGCGAGGGCTGGGCCTAGGCGTATCAGCAGGCATGCTCACTCTTGCAAGTTACTCGCTTGAGCCATTAGAGTTGCAGGGTAGGCATGTGTAGTTTCAACAAGCCCTAGTGCAGAGCGTTAGTGGCCATCTACTCCCTTGGCTTAGAAACTGCATGCACGTATGGTTTACTGTGCACAAGGGCGCAAGTTGACCTGGCCGGACCCGAGCTAAGGCTCGCACCCAGCATGGATGGATTGTGGGGAGACCACAGGCTGTTACATTTAGACAGGGTCACTTCAGGCTAAACCAGAGACATACCCTGTGTCCGGAATCATGTGTAGCCATGGCGGCCATCTCATGTCTGGGCATATGGCGAAAGCATTTTCTTCAGCATAAACCCCGCGCCATTTATGTCGGCCTGGCAACTTGACTAGCCTCTTGAAAGCAGTGCAGTCCAAGAAAGCTCTACTCGCTATGTATTTAAGTGAGGGTGGTATAGCAAGTTCTGGCAGGGCCGCACAGTTCATGAAGGCCTTGACTCGAAT